GCCTGTGCCCTGTGGGAAAACCATTGGCTATCTATGTCTATAACAATATACCATTGGGTTTCTTTGTATAGAACAGTAACCCAGGATTTCTGGTACATCCCAACTTCTTATAAATGAGTAGCAGGCTGCTATACACAGCACCTGCTTTGGTTCTGCTGCTCGTGATAACCTCAACCAGGGGTCCTCGAACTTTTTCAACAAGGTGCCAGCAGTGGGCGCGGGCCGGCAAGGCAGTGCTGGTGGTGGGCGCAGACCAGTGAGGGGGCGGGGGCACGCACATGCGGCGAGGCAACGGCTTGCTCGCTCGGAGATCATTTTCTTTGAGTGAGTCCAAAATGATCTCCACAGGCGCGGGCGTGGCGAATCCCAAGCCTCTGAGGCAGGCCAGATAAATGGGCATGGCAGACCAGATTCGGCCCGCAGGTCGTAGTTTGAGGATGCCTGACCTAAACAATGGCTAAACATACCAGAAATTGATAGTTTAGGATTATGCCCAACACATCTCAAGGATCCTGGTTTGATTCTCCAAAAGAAGCCAGCAACAAACCAGTGTTTGTTGTTGGCTTGTGAATCCTGGCTTATTTAGGAGCAACAAACCAGGATCCTAACTTCTGAGATAATGCTGGCTGCTTCCAGGTGAACTAGAACCTTGCTCCCTGGGTACGAATTGGAGAAGGCTGCACAAAAGTCAGAATCCCCCTTCCTGTTTTGCGTTCCACCCATTTGCTCCCAATGGGAAGATAAGTTGGGAATGCTCTCAGAACAGGAAATCATCTTCTAGCTGCACTTCCTCTTTCTGGTCCTTCTTTTATCTGCAAAACTCCTGATCATCGTGGGGTTTATTTGTTTTTCCTTTGTTCAGAGTAAATACAGCATAGAAGCAAGGAGGCATTTTCCAAGGACAAGGAGACCTCTTAAAAATGTGTGTTGGGCGGGATTCATTATTGAAATCTTTGCCAGGGATTGCCAGCCCTTTGAAGTTTGGGAACTGGCACCTTCCATAGCTGAGGATTGTTCATGTCACTGTGTTGCAGGTGTCTGATCAGCTTGACCTGCCAAAATCCCCTCATTAGCATAACGGGTAGAGGGAAGGGCCCCTCACTTTGAAGTCCTTGCCCTAAGCCTTTCCATCCCTGTCCATCCGGTGCCTTCATGTCGGCATCTAGGAGCAGAGAGTTTACACGCCACTTTCCCTTCTGAAGTGCCCCTCTGGCCAGAAGCTGCGGAAAACTGCTGATGGCGATTTTTGCAGCTTGCTGACCATGCCAAATAAGCTGTTTGCTCGCCTGTGACAGGAAAAGTCTCTGAGGCCTTTGCTAATCCAGACAAAATGCAGGCGTTTCCCAGTGTGAGCCCACGTGTCTGGTAACGCTTCAGCATCACCTGTCCCCATGTAGGAAAGCATGTTTTTCTCAGTGACTGGCTACTGTCAGAGGTGATTGGGGTGCCCCCCCCCCTTGCGATTCGGACAGGGAGGAGGAGGAAGACATATAGCAGAGTGAATGCAGGCAGAGCCCTACAGAGTGAGAGTAGGTGAAAGGGGTACCCTGAACCATCCCTTTTCCATATCCACAAGATTCTCAAGGCAAACTCAGACAGACTTTCTCTGTAAGTCTTTGCCTCTGGTTACCATGTGGAGGCCTAGAAGCCTAGAGGTTCCTGGTCAGGGCAAAGACTTATGCCTCCTTTCCCTTTTTCCCAGCTATGCATTCCCAAAAGGTCCAGCAGCCTGGGTTTGACATACTTGCCCTCTGAGTGACATGCCTCCTTGAAGCAAGCCTTGGCTGTCCCTGCGGGGCAGACTTCCCCAGTCTCTGCGCTTGAGGCTGCTTCCATGCTTCCCCCCAGGATCTTAGGTCCAGGTTTCGATAAGCCAGCTGTCCTGTCTCTCCTTGCTGCCTGGGCAGGAGATTGCAGAGGTGGTCATCGGCCTTCTTCTGGCATGGCATGCAGCGTTTCCCCTCCTCTTTCCAGCCCCTTACTCTTGCTACCTCCCAGAACGTAATAGTCTGCTCTGGGTGAGCCCCAGCTACTGCTGATGCAGGTCCACTCTTGCCCAGCTGGGCTAGCCTTAGTCCAACTGACTGGAACCCCCCTCTGGGAAATGTCCATTCCACCTTTATCCTCATGCCTGGCTGCCTGGGAAGCTACAGCTAGAGCATGAGGAGATGACTTGGCCTGGTAGGTCCTGGCAGTCTCTTGCAGGAGCTTGGATGGGATTTTGGAGAGCCAGGGAGCAGGGAATTTCTGGTGTTGGGGGCATACCAGTCTAAAATGGGATTGTCTACTGGAAATGACAAGGTTGGCACCTGGCAAAAACTCGTGTTTTACAGGCTTTTGAGTTCCCAAATGTGGTTATCTGAAAGAACACAGCTTTACCAGAAAACATTGGCTGGTTTACAAGTGTAGAAGGTATTGGGATGGCTTTGTAACCTGCCATTGTGCTTTCCTAGGAAGAGGAACCTATTGGCCTGCCTGAAGTCCAATTCTGGAACCTCAAATAGCTGCTAGCCCCATGTAACATAGTTTAGAGAAATGCCTTGTAAGACTGATGTGAAGCATTACTTTCTATTGATGTGAGCCACTGTGGGAGATGTTGTCTGAAAAGTAGGATAAAAATGCAGGAAAGACATAAACAACCATTCCTGGGCGATCGTGCCAGCGTGAGGGAAGAAAAATTGGAGGGGTTTGCAGAAGGATTGCTCGTGCGTGTCCGCACCAGCTTTCTTTCAAAGCAAAATCAGCAAATTCGGAGACCAGCTTTTGCATAGTGTTACACGAAGGCTAAAAGGAACGGATGCTGATTGGAAGGAGTGCTGAGAGGGACAGATTGAAATGGCCATATTATTGCTGCACACTTTTGTCCTGCTTTTGCTGCCACCACCCATTTATCTGATTTATTTAGTTATTCCTTGGATATACTCCTAAATATCTTAAAGAATCCCCAAATGGTTTCTGTATAAATGTTAAAACCATAATGAAAATCACATGTAAAATACAGCTTTAAAAACAGTGCCTTCAATGCCTTGAAAGGTTCTTTGTCTTACTATTTTTCTTTCTTAATCCTCTCATTCTTGACAAATCTCACCATCTTTTTTTCTATACGTGCAAAGCTCTCCTTGTGAAATTTTGGTTCCCCCACAACTGACCCCTTTTTTACCAACCTGCCACAACCTGCCCCCCAAGAAAACTGTCTTTGATTTCCTTCAGTGTCTGGGCCTACCTTGCTCTTCTTTCTACTGAGCAGTGGGGCAAACTGGGGGGAGGCATCTGCCCCAGTCCGGGGAGTGAGGGAAGAGGAAATGTGGAGAGGCGCCCCCTGCTGGGAGTGTGAAAGGTGGCTGCTTTGGGCACCCGTTCTCAAGGGCAGATGGCTGGGCTGCAGAACTGGAATCCTCATCGGAATGTGAAGCGGAACTGTAGGGAATCTGGGAATGTGGGCCAAGCCGAGACCCGGAGATGAGAGATGCGGAGGCGCTGATCTCAAGGCCGGACTCCCCAGGTGGGTCGGCAGGCCGTCCCTGGGAGAATAACCAAGATGTGCAGTTGGTGGGAGGGGATTTGGAGCAGGGGAGCTTCTCGGACTCAGGTGAGGTGGCCCAGTCGGAGGATTGGCGTGTGCAGAGGAGGCATTAACCCTTTCAGAAGGCCCCTCCCAAAGGAATAGGGCCCAGGCGTGCTCATAAGGAGAGGACCTGGGGGTGATGCTAGCTTGGCTTCAACAAACCACTCTGTGCATGCTCAGAGATGCATTCCGGGTGTTTTGTGCTGTTTTTGGTCATTAGGAATACAATTTGTGGCTTTTGAATGCATGAAGGAGGAACCCTGGCTGCAGACACTCCCTGTTGATTCTTTGAGTCAGCTTCTTCACAGATGTAGGCAACCACATTCCCTGTCAAAGGCCTACAGCGGGATTCTCCTAGGCCAAATGAAGAGAAGAACCCTAGTTTGCACTTAGTGTGGGCTCCAGGTTCTTGAGGGCCCTTGGTCAAGACACCTTCAATGGGCCCCTCTCTCAGCGAGTCCACTTGCTCACCGCCGTTGCCGGCTGCTGCTGCTCAGCCTCTTGCTCATTTTTGCCACCATTGGCTTGCTTGGCAGCCAACGACCAGGTAGGCCATAGAGTGCGAGGCTCCCTTTCTCACCACCTCTGTGGAGGCAGGCCGGGGTGAGAGGCAGGTGAGCTAGCATGGAACAGCGGCGAAGAAGAACCACAACTCCTGGGCATCTGCTGGGCATGGGCCCTTGGAAGGTGCCCTGCTAGACTCGCCATTGGCACTGCTGCTGGTTGTACATAAGCAACAGCCCCAGCTTAGTTCCTCATACTGGAATACCACACAGAAGATGTGATTTTGACCCATTGTTGTGGATTTATAGCTATACCACTTGTGTGCACTTGTCTAGACACTTTGATGAGGTTCTGTTTCTCTTGCTTGGGACCACAATCTCCCACACCTGCCCTCTTCCTTCTTTGTATAATGTATGCAAATCCAGCAACCATGCCATGGCCACACTAAAGAATGCTGCAACTTAATGCCACAAAGACCCCTTCCCCAGCTTGATGCTCTAAACACAGCAGCCTGATAGGTTCAAGTATGGATAATTTCTTTCTGCATAAGATAAAGCGACCCTGAAGTAGAAGCTGAGAAGTCATTCCTCACTTGATTTCTCGGAACCCTTTTTACTTTGCTGCTCAGCCTGGCAGAGACCTTAGCATCACAAATATTTCATGATCTGTTGTGGGAGGGATTTGGAAAAAAAGAGGGGTGAAAAAAGATTACTTTAAAAAATTCTGGGTTAAGAATTAAGTGTGCTATTGCAGTGTGTTATCGATTCACAAAATGTCAACCATCTTGGTGCAGAATCTGGATGATTTTGGCCCATTTACATGCATGTTCCCAATGTGAAACATAGAGAATTAAGCTGTTGTATCCACTTAATTCAGATTATAGCTCATGGTCACATTTTTAACTATATATTTCCTCTTGTTTCTTGTACAGTCTGACACCAACGCAAGTTACCTTCGTGCTGCCCGGGCAGGAAACTTGGAAAAGGCTCTTGATTATTTAAAAAGTGGAGTGGACATCAACATTTGCAATCAGGTTGTAAAAATATTTGATTACTGCATTTTTGTTTTGCTACTTACTTGCTTATAATTGTGTCTGCTTTTGGCAATACCAAACAGCGACTAAAGCTGAAACAAACTGAACTCTACTTCATATCTTCTAGGTGGATTATGATATTATTATTAGTCAAGTTCTACCATGCATTTTACAAAGAATAAAACATATAGGCCAGAACTTAATCTATATATAGCATCTAAGGGATGAGAAGTAGTAGAGGAAGGAGGAAAGCAAGGATATTGGACTACATGAAAGCATAATCTTATGCATGGAGGTCTGCCCTGTTGAATGCACTGAAATTTACTTCTAAATAAACCTGTATAGGAATGCGCTGCAAAGGAATGACTCAACAAGCTTCAGGTGTATATTTTGTCCTGCCTGTGTCTTAGCTACTGATATAAGTTAGACACAATTCAGCTCTGTATTCTCTGCAGTGAACGTATTTCTCTAGAATATGCACCAAAAACGAATTTAATATTGAACTTAAGTCTACAACTTGTGATTGCTCTAGCAGAATTGTCCAGAAAGAGAATGTATATCGTGAGCTGTGCAGAGAGCCCAGATGTGGACTGTTGTCACTGCATATAAATTCACTAAGCAAGCAAGCGAGCGAGCAGGATCGCTCCCTGTTGCTCTAAGGTTAATCTTTTGCAAACATAACTATTAGCATATGCAAAGACACAGGACGCATTTGAAGCCACACTTTGGCATCTAAGGTTAATAGGTACTGAAATACTAATGGTATTTGCAGCTTACTTTGAAGGGACGCAGTACCTGGCTTCTTTGAAAATGGCATGCACATTACTTCCTGCTTATTGATGAATCCCTTGTTCACACATTTATGGAAGAAAAGCAAATTGCAAGGAAATGTCACAGGTGTCATTTTAAGTGTCACAAAGGTACCCGCCCTCCTTGGCCATAAGTCCTCCTGCATTGATGGGACATACGTCTGAGGACGTGGCCATAGGAGCTGCCTCTTCTCTGTGTTAAGCTCTTATTGTGGGTTGAAGCAGCCTAGCCACACACAATGCAGCAAGTCCTCCTAGCTAGCCATGAGCGTGTGTGGCTAGAAACCGGAGTAGGCAACCCGTGTGTTGCATAGCAACTCCCATCCACTCAAGTCAGCATCGCCAGTGGTGAGAGATGCTGAGAGTTGCAACCCAACATCTGAAGAAGGTCACAAGATGCACATCCCATATAAACAACAGAGAGGATACTTGTGCTTGTCTAACGGACTGTTATTACCATGCATTCTGTTTCTTATGCTGGATTTTGGAGTATGTTATTGTGCTTCATGGAGACAATTAGAAAGTGAATTTGGGAGGGTTGGTGTGTCTGTCTTCCTTTCCTAGGCCTCATAATGTTGGAATGCAACCTTTAGGACTCTTGACATATCACTTGCTGTTGTGGTCACTCCGCATCAATCTTTCCCATTCCTTTTTGTGTTTATCAGAATGGGTTGAACGCTCTCCATCTCGCCTCCAAAGAAGGTCATGTAGAAGTTGTTTCAGAACTGATACAGAGAGGCGCCAATTTGGAAGCAGCAACCAAGGTCTGTAGCTGATATCTAAATGCTCTACTGTTCTCCTACACAGATTCCACACTTGTGAAGTGTTGGCCCATTGATGGCAGCAAACAATACGGCTTTAAGCCAGGCCTGCAGCTAGTCCCTAAGAGGCAGTGGGCCTTGAAGGTCACTCGCTGTGGAGAAGAGAAAGAAGTGTTTCTTACGTGTGAGATCGGGTGTTGCAGAGACTAGAAATGGGAAAATTTGCCAAAGACGATTGGTCTTCCTCCCTTTGGACCAGCCCTTGTCTTGTGTGAACTGAGGATGATATCTCAGTTCCGTGGTGGAGAATGTGCTTTCGTGACCCTCACTCTGACTCAGGGGATGAGTGCCAGCAGAATTGCAGCCAGACCAACCTGGTGGTTCTAGGGTTTTGAGTCCTTATTCTGAATATTTTAAGCTGGTTTACCACCTCTGTTAACTGGAATAAATCATATAAGTCCTTATTGTCGACAGCATGATCAGAGGCAGGAGTATAGAGACCTGTTTTACCATTACTGGTTGTCTGGAAGAAGAATGGATTTTATCAAGTGTGGTATAGGAGGATGGGAAAAGCCAGACCTGCAGAGATTCTATCTTCTGCTCAAAAGTGTACAAAAACATCTTCAGCTTCTGGTCACTCTCAGTATGAAAATCCTGTTGAATAAAAACAGGCCAATTCGCTTCCATCTCGTAATGCATATTTCATGTAGCCTTCATTGCTAAGCCATTTTTAATATGCATTAATCAATATATTAGCTCATAAAATTTAGATTAATGTAGTTATAAAATCTTAGGCTATTTTTGGACAATATGCATTGAAATTGCTTAATTCTAAAAGGTTTGTATTAGGTAGGAGCATCCTGAACTGCTGTTTTATTTGTATAGTAATGTTTCTTTCCAACAACAAGGTATGGGGTAGATTGTGTGCATTTGTGTGTGAAGGTGTGTGTGTGAGAGAGAGAGAGCAGTGTGAGTGTGAGTGTGAGTGTGTGTCCTTGTGGTTGTGCTAATGCAGCAGACACCTAGTGTGGACCTCCAGACCAAAAAGATCGTATGTGCCTGAATTAAGAGGCAGAAAGTAGCAGATTTTTTTACCATAATAGCTAAGCACAGAGGCCTCAGCTGGAGTGCAACCAACCCTGTTTCTAGATGGGAGTGTTTCTAACAAGGTGGGAGGCAGAAGGAAAGAGGAATGTGGTAAAGAAGTTGCTGCTGTTTGAGTTTTGCATAGCACTTCCAACCCGGGGACTGAGTGGGTATGGTGGACAAGGGCAATATAAAATCAAAGGCCAGGAAAAAGCAGGACTGCAGCTGAACATTAAGAAAACAAAACTCAGGACTACACAAGAATTGCAGGTTTACTGACAACAAAGAAATTGAAATTGAGAAAGATTCTGCATACCTTGGCTCAGTCTTCAATTCAAAGGGAGACTGTAGCCAAGGCATTTGAAGAAGATTGAGACTTGGAAGGGTAGCAGTGAAGGAAGTAGAAAAGATTATCATATGTGAGAACATTTCACTGGAGACCAAGATCATCCATACTGTTATATTCTTGATCACAATCTTTGAGTGTAAAGGCTGGACAGTTAAGAAAGCAGCCAGGAAGAAAATTGATGTGTTTGAAACATGGTGCTGAAAGAGAGTTTTGCAAATCCCCTGGACTGACTGAAAGACAAGCAAGTGGATCCCAGATCAAATCAAGCCGGAGCTTTTCCTGGAAGCAAAAATGTCCAAACTGAGGCTTTCATACTTTGGGCACCCAATGAGAGGCAAGACTCCCTGGAGAAAGGAGGGAGAAGGGAAAGAAAAGGCAAAAGAGGAAAGGAAAGACCAAATAGAAGATGGATTGAATCTGTAAAGGAAACCACCCCCTGGAATTTACCAGGACTGAACAGTGCTGTCATGGATAGGACACTGGATACCTAAAAGAACGCCTGCTTCCATATTTGCCCTCCCGCCCCCTGAGAGCGGCAGCAGAGACCCTCCTCCGGGAGCACTCCGGGAGAGACATCAGGAGGCAAAGTACCCGGAGGGTGGCTTTCTCTGCGGTGGCACCCCATCTGTGGAATGCGCTCCCCAGAGAGGTCTGCCTGGTGCCGTCGTTATTTGTTTTTCAGCGCCAGGCTAAGACCTTTTTATTTAAACAATATTTTAACAACTCTTAATAATATCTATATGTTCTAATTTTGCAGCCAGAGTGATTCTGGGTTTTTTAATTGTATTATTTTATTATGGATGATGTTTATTTATTTATGTGAGCCGTCCCGAGGCTATAGCAATGCGACGGCATACAAAAATTCCAAATAAGTAATAAATAAATAAATAATAAATTTGGGAGAGTTTTCATTGAAAAGGTTGCTGAAAGTTAGAGGTGACTTGATGGAACATGACAGCAGCAAAAAGCATGGCAGGATCACCAGTTCCCATTACCAATGCATTCTGGGCTGGTTCAGACTCAGAGAAGCGTAGCATAGCGTTATGAGAACAAGCCACAGAAAGCTCGCATGCCCTCCCTTCGCATGCTCCAGTGCAGTCACAAGAAGGAATTCAGAGTGCTTTGCCTGGGATTACCCACAGCTTGCCCTGTTGTCAAACATGGACAAACTGCGATTCGTATTAACTGTGATTTGTAGAAACACTGCAGCATTAGAAATGATGGTTTTTTAAAAGATGGCTTGTTTTCACTAACAGTAATATTAATCACGGTTTAGGATTAGGGGATGTGCTAAACTCAAGTTAATCTGGAGTGGAAGTGGGAGCATCTAATTCCCTCCTCAAGGTCACGGTACATCTATGATGATTTAGTGTCATGGCAAAACTCAGCTGTTGGTTTTAGGACAGGAAGTCCCCTAAAAATAGGATGTTGTTGATGATGCTCAGACAATGCAGAGAACATGCACCGGGCCATTTCAATATAAGGAAGTTCCCAAGTCAAGCATTTGGACACCCTCAAGCAGCATTCCCTGAGAGGCTATTCCCAGAGGGATAAAATGTCAGTTTCTCCCCCATTCGCCTCACCTTCTGCCCATGCACAGACTCCATGAGCACACATGCAGGTAACTGATAGTTTTTTGCATGGCAAGGGCATTTCCACAACCAAAACAGCAATAAGGCATCTGCCTGTTTAATTTTGTTTAATGGCATGGCCTTCCCTGACCCTCAGCACTGAGTCTGTGTGTTTCTGCAGATGTTCATGCTTGCATCAGTCTAATTCTTTAAGGGGCCTTGCAGAAATAGTTCGGAAGACCCCGGCGGTACCTAATTATATACTGAATCCCTGGATGTAAATCCAGAGTCAGGTATCCTGTCAACAGATGCCTAGTGTTTCTTCCTGCTGAGTCTTCTGTTGGAGAGCCCTGGGCATTTTTCACATTCCGTCCCCGTCTCTCGTTTCAGAAAGGAAACACAGCTTTGCACATAGCGTCTCTGGCCGGGCAGACCGAGGTGGTGAAGGTGCTGGCTACAAATGGAGCCAATGTCAACGCGCAGTCTCAGGTAAAACAGCCTTGTTTGACTGTCCCTGTGCTTCATGTCTGTTCTCTATTGTCTTTTTAATTCTTTTTTTAAAAAGCAGAATTGCGATGTTGGCTGGTATCTGCTAGCTTTTTCTGGGATTAATGGTGTTAGAAGTTACTGGGTAAGCATAAAAGCCTAGCTTCCTGGGTAGTTAACCCATGCGAATGCATTGGATGCTGTTCTCTGTGTGATCTGGAGTGCCCTGTCGCTGCACTGAATGTGTCAAGTCACACAGAACTCTGTGAAACTTCCCCTCTTCCTGCTTAAGGACTGTCCTTTGGCTTCATCCAAGTTGCACTGCTACATGGCTGGAATGGCTGATGATAAAAGCAGAATGGTAGAAAATCCTTGGCCTTACTGTAAAGTTGCCAGAACATAAACATCCTGGAAAAAAGCATTTTGCAGTGTCCTTGCAATTTGAATGACAATGTCCAAACACCGTCCTTTGCAGTTGAAAAATGTTACGGTCAGTTTGGCTGCCTTCGTGAGATTAAAGGCTTGCCACCACTAAAAGACATGGTAAAAATGTTTGCGAAAAGGAAGGTCTAAAGCAGCCTTCCCCAGCCCAGTGTATTGTACTACACACCCATCATTCCCAGCCACTAGGGCTGTTGGGAGGGGATGGTTTAAAGTCTTGCTTTTTGAAATCATGTTTCTTTCTCACTTTCTTAGTGTTCTTTATCATGTATTCACACACACAGAGAGAGGCTTCCTATGTTACTACATTCCTTGTATGGACAAGATAAAATAATTTTAAATTAGTCAAGGTCAGCCTGACATTTCACATTTTGGATTGTAGGTTTTGCCATTTAGATTTGCCCATAAAGTCAAATGCTTTTATAGGTTTTATAGCGTGTTTCTTGTACTGATGATTGTTTTTCTCGTGTATTGATTCATTCTTTTATCACCTATCCCGCCCAGATGACTTTTTGTTATTGGGCAGACTAAAAATATAGTAAGTGTATAAGCTGTTGATTTGGCTCATGTCATGAATCCTTGTGGGTGCATTAAGTGCAAATATGCAGAATGGGCCATTCATGCAGCTTCAGTATCACCTTGGCTGCGGTGGTGCGGCAAGGGCTGGACCTTGCAGGGCAACGAATGGAGCTCCCCAACATAAGGGCTTCCAAATGACCGAACAGACAGTAGCAAAGGATTAGTACATCAGCTGATGCAAAGCCTGTTTTATTCCTGCGGTCATGAGGATGCCGTGGTTTCAGTGAGCTTAAAACGAAAACTTCCAGAAGCTCAGGGATTTTTTGGTTTTCATCAGGGTTGGCAACATGTTGACGCTCAGGGAGCGTCGAAGCAGCTGTAAAGCATGGGAAAACGGCAAGCGAGGGCGGAAGAAAAAAGCCAATCCCGTGCTTCATAACACAGAAGGGGATCCCCGTAAGACAATCGTGGTCTATGGTCTGTAATCCCCTGGCTGTACCACTGTTTTGCCATGATCCCGTGCCCCCCACAAATGCAGGGTAGGACATGGGGATGCTCAGGAAAATGCTCATCTCCCAGTTCTCCCTGTCCTGTGTTGGAGGCATTGCTGCAACATTGGACGCCCCCGTCTCTTGGTGTTGAACAACGGCCCTTCAGTGGCTTACTCAAAGTTTCCAGGATCCTGCTTTCTCCCAGCATCCTTTGTGTGGGGGCACCCGCCTTCCAGTTGTGAGTAGCTGTCTTGTCAGGAGCCTGAGCAAAGCAGCCTTCTTGATATTTAAGGTCAGGGAGAGGGGAGTCGAGCTTGTCGCCAAAGGTCTGGTGCGTTAGAGGACATCCAACATGCTTGGCAGAATTTGGTAAGGTTTGCAGCAGCTGAGTCGGTTGATTTCAGTTGGGTCACAGGGGTGCTCACAAAATAGATAGCTGCTACATTCCAAACCACGAAGAACCTGTTTAGGTGTTGCCACAGCCCAGAGCAATGGCTAACCCATTTAACAAACAGCTGATGTCCATTGTTTGTAAGAGACATTTTCTTCACGACTGAGCTGACACTGGCAAAAAACACAGTTCTGTCACATTTCTATTTAAGATGTGCATTTGAATTTGTCTGAAGTTTTTTTCCTCCCAGTTGGATGCTACACTCAGTTTTACCAGCTGCCATCCAGCTGACTAGGGACAGCTGAACACCCCCTGCCCATCTGGCTAATTGGAAGCCTATCTTAAGTCCTCAAAATGATCCTGGAATATGTCAGCTGTTATCCAACTATTATATCACCTTAGAGTCACCTGCATGTAGGAAAAGACAGGTTGGAACCAAGGGATTCCTGCTCAGAGGAGGACAGGCCAATGGGGCATCCTCTCTTTTGTATGCTGAGCCCCAGTATGTCAGAACTCATCTCCGGGGGGATGGAGATCCATTTCACACGTTATGCTTTCCAGGTGTGCATAAAGCAAAATGTTTTACGTTCACATCGAAACCTGCAGAGTGTGATTATGAGAAACAAGGAGCCAGACTGGCTGCAGCTTTGGGGGAAACCCGGTCTTTCCTCTTCAAGTTGTGTGGAATGGCCCTCATCCATTCTTGTAAATAGGATGAAGCTGGACCTTAAATTGATATAAGTAAGACTCATGTGTGTTCCTTTGGGAAGTGTGGGTTGTAGATTGTGTGCTGATGCAAGAGGAGCCATGCTGAATCAAAGCAATGGTCCATCTAGTCCAGCATTTTGTTCATGTAGTGGCCAAACCCGATTCCGTAGAACCCGTTCTTGTAGCTGGGATGTGCTACATTGCGTTTCCTTCTTTCCCAAGAAGCCACTGCTGTGCAGTGACCACTGATCTGTGTCAGCCAGACAGGAGTGCATGAGAAGCCTTCACAAAACCTATTTATATTTTTAAATATAGCTCGGATTCTTCAGCAACACCAGTACAGCCTTCCTCCAGCTGTACCCTCCAGATCTGATAGACTGCAACTCACAACATTCCTGACTGTAGTCAATGTTGTCTGATGCGAAATGTAGTCTAAAACCTCTGGAGAACATCTGGAGAACATTCTACAGTAAAATATGGCGTAAATTTATATGCATGAGCTTCAGGCTCATGTGCTCCCTCTCTTTGGCATGTGCGTGAGAATATTGGATATACCCATTCTCCTCTCTAAGGCTGTGCTGGAGGAGGAGAGAGTAAGCCCCTTGGTCTGCTCAGTAACACTAAACCATGGCTTAGCATCATGTCTGAATGCTACCTGCATTTCTCCTACTGCTCTGTTCATTTGTATTTGCTATGCTTGTAATTGCACCTAACACAAAGAGACTACTGCCTAAGAGAGAAAAGATCGGCACATCAGGAAGAAAGGGAAATGTTCATACAGGTGAGCATTCCAAAAGAGGATTCCACATCTACAGCCCGGTACAGTCCTTTCTGCTGACTCGGGGCTCTTCCACCTTGTTTTCTGACATGTGCAGGCAGGAGCTAAACAATCCCAAAAGGAAGACCAACATGGGTGCTGAGCAAGACCTTAGTTTTCCATACAAAGTCTTACTCTGTTGTGTTTTTCTCTTTTAGAATGGCTTCACACCCTTGTATATGGCAGCCCAAGAAAACCACCTCGAAGTGGTTAAGTTTCTTCTGGATAATGGAGGAAGTCAGAGTCTTGCCACAGAGGTAAATGATCATTTTATCCAGCCCTTCCCAAAAGGTTAACCATACTTCACGGCATAATGAAACATAGAAGTATAGCTCTGCGCTAAAATATATGAAAACCATCAACTCTGTACATGACGTATTTGTTATGTACCATTAAGTCTGAAGACGTGCACATCCCAAAAGCAGATTCCGTATCAGCATCTCTATCTGGAGCAGCACCATCCCTGCCCATGGAAAGACATTTGTCCTGCTGCGTCCCAGCTATGGCTGTTCAAAGTATCATGCAGTGCAAACCCCGGGAGTTTTCATATGTATTGTGACCTGTGTAGCATATTTCCCTTGGAGATCAGCTACAAGCTGGGTTTGGTTATACTGGCTGTGTAAACAGGTGGTGTCGTTCTCATGGACGTTGAGTTTGCTTACAGGTGTTGTCATCTTCAGCCTGCCTTTTTTAAATGAGCGTGAGCTGCCGTCACTGTTGATGCAGCGGACTGTGGCATCGTTGGTCCCTTTCAGAGTATCTGAGGAAAACAGGGAGGAGGAGTGTGAAAAGTCTGCCTGAGAGTCTAGAGTCAGTGACATCGTGACTCTGTATGCACACCATTTGGTGGCCACTCCAGCTCTACTGCACTGGTCAGTCCATTTAGGCCACAGTCCTATTGTGATGGCCATAAGCCCCTAATCTTCGAGGCTTACAGTCATCCCAGGCAGAGCAGGAAGGACAATTGAGCTCTACCTTCCTGTCCCACCCCCCTCACTGCATTTTCATTTGCCGGGCTTATTTGCCTGTCTAGCTGGAATGTTTCCGAGAGGCAGGAAAGGAGGCTGAAGTGCTCATGTCCTGGCCTTTCCACTCTCCCCGCCTCCCACCTGTGCAAATGCTCCCATTTATTTATTTATTGTCTAGACTGTCCCATTACTAAAGTCTCAGGATGGTTTAACGATACAAAATGTAAAAAATAAAGCACAGCGTCCTAAAATTCAACTAACAATAAAACCCCAATTAAAACAGTCAGGTCTTAAGACACTGGGAAAATTAAAAAGGTTTGGGCCTGGCGCTGAGAAGAATAAAGTGACGGCACCAGGAGAACTTCTATGGGGAGAAATTCCACAATCGGGGCGCCACCGCCCCTTTTAGCCCCTCCAAGTTGCTTTCCTGTCCTCGGAAAGCAGCTGGCGTGGTTGCATCTGTGCTTGGGGGACCTGGGAATGAGAAATATCCCGTGATCCCTCAGACACTGTCTAGGGGCCATAGTATTGCTCCCTTCTGGCTCTTGAAGATCTGGTCCTGATGAAACATGCAGGGTGTCTGCTGATGCCAGTGTTCTAAAGCGTGCCCTCTTCAGAATCAGAAATCTTTTTTACATTTAGTGAGAAGTTTGTGGAATCCCTTAATCTTTCCATGTCTGTTTGGGAAACAGACACATTAGAATCAGAGAATCATACAGTTGGAAGGGGCCTAGCAGGCCATCGGGTCCAACCACCTGCTCAGTGCAGGACTCAAGTCTCCCATCCAGATTCTAACCAGTCCTGACCCTGCTTAGCTTCCAAGGTTAGGCAGGTTTGGGCACTTAAGGCTATATGGAAGCTTGATATTGATTGATTGATTGATTGATTGAAACATTTGAAGGGCACCCAAACAGATTAAATTTATTTCTTAAATTTCTATTCTATGTAATCCTTATGTTGCCTAACCATAAAATGCCAGATAAAATTATAATGTAAATATAGAAACCAAGCCATTAAAAGCAGCTCCATAAAAAGAAGAAATGAGCAGGAAATGGAATAACATTGAAAACCGGCATCAGCAGCAATTTCTTAAAGACAAAAGCCTGTCTAAATTAAAATGCCTTTGCCCGCAGGCAGAAGGACTACAAAGTCAAACTAGTCTAGCTTCCTTTGGCAGGGAGTTCCAGAGTCTGGAAGCAGCCATGGAGCAATCCCCCTCTTATGCTGCCACCCATGGATAGCGGGCGTGACAAACAAGCAGGAGCTAGAGCAGATTAAACCAGATGCGTCCCAGGCTGGCAAGATAACAAAGCTGAGACTCATTTATTTTGACCACTTCATTCATTCATTCATTTAGGGGGCTTCTATGCCGCCCCATTCGCCAAAGCCTCGGGGCGGCTCACAACCATAACTAAATAGAATCCAATGAAACAATATAAATTAACAATATAAATTAAGTCGCCCTGGCCAACGAATAACATGAATAAATAGTATTAACAGTTAAAATGACGTTTGAATAAAAAGGTCTTCGCCTGGCACCGAAAAACAAATAACGACGGCGCCAGGCGGACCTCTCTGGGGAGAGCATTCCATAGATTGGGCACCACCGCAGAGAAAGCCCTCCTCCAGCTACTCACCCTCCTAATATCCTTCACGGAGAGTTCCCGGAGAAGGGCCTCTCCCGCTGATCTCAAGGGGCGGGAGGGCATATATGGACATAAGAGCTCCTTCAGGTAACCAGGACCCAAGCCATTAAGGGCTTTATAGGTCATCACCAACACCTTGAATTGGGCCTGGACTTCAATGGGAAACCAGTGAAGCTGACAGAGGACTGGAGTCATGTGAACATGATGATGTTAATGATAAAGATAATGATGATAATGAGCGATCAAGCTCATTAGAAAAAGATATAATGCTTGGGATGCTCAGTGGCAAGAGAAAACCAGGTCGCCAAAGATTGAGCTGGTTAGACGCCATCAAAGAGGATGCGGGCCAGAGCATAGTTCAGCCGAAAGAGGTGGCACGGGGTGGGCAAGTGTGGCGAGATTTGGCCCATACGATCGCTTATGGTCGGACACGGCTGAACAGCTGAACAGCATCAAGGATGCTGTCATCAAATGCGCCTTCCAAAGAGAGCCCTGTGAGTTATTTTACACCAGTCCACATGGGAGGTCACTAAGGCATGTGTCACTGGTGCCTGATCAGACCTCACCAGGAACGACTGCAATTGGTGCAGTAGCCTCAGTTGTGCATCCTCTGTGCAGGGATCACCTGAAGGTCCATGGTCCATGCAGGTTCAAGGAGCACTCCCAAGCTATGGAGCTAATCCTTCAGGTCGAGGGCAACCCCTTCCAGAAAACGTTGAATCCCAGTCCCACATCAGGTTTTTCCATTGACCAGCAGCACCTCCGTTTTGCCTGTGCTTCCTCTCCCCATAATGCTTGGAGACTTGCCTGCTGAGAACTGCTGTCGTTCATTTGCTAGGATGGCTTCACACCGTTGGCCGTAGCTCTTCAACAGGGCCATGACCAGGTGGTTTCCTTGTTGCTTGAAAACGATACGAAAGGGAAAGTCCGTCTTCCGGCTCTCCACATCGCTGCACGCAAGGATGACACCAAGGCAGCTGCACTCCTGCTCCAGAACGACCACAATGCGGACGTGGAGTCCAAGGTTAGTTTTTTGGTTCGTTTTCAAAGGACTGCCATGTATAAGAAAGACCCTGCTGCTCTCTGCAAGCAAACAGTGCCCTATTTAAGAAAAAGATATCTGTTCCAGGTCTTACTACAGTTTAGGCTGGACCAACGCAATTTGTGATCTGCCAAAACAATTTCAGCCCTCCACCGTGGACCATGGTCTGCCAGGCCTCTGACCTACTGCTTTGCTTTTGGAGACCCAGGGAGGCAGCAGATGCCTGGGCTTCTAGCAGGCCTCGCACCACAGAGCTTTGGTGGGCTGGGATTGGCTTGTTGGGTCACCCGCTGTGAGGGCCTGTGCTACTTTATCTTGTCTCCATAGCCATGAAGGAAAAGTATGCTTATTAATTACAAGCCGTCCTGTATTTGAAACGAATGCTAGGATTTGTAGTGGAGATTGGATTTTCATATCAGTGGTTGATGTTGCTTTAGGCTCCGTTTCATACCCACGCGAGAGCAGGCTTGCCCAGCCTGGCGCCCTCCAGATGCTTAGGCCTCTGCATCAACACCAGCCTGCGTGAGCAGGGGCCAGACGTTAAGGGCTGTAGCCCAGAATCTCTGGAAGGCACCAAGCTGGGGAAGTGGAAAAGAAATGGCGATCCAAAAGTGGCTCTAATAGAGATATTTTAGCGGCGTGGCGCCAGTGTCTGTGTTTTGTTATTTTCGTTAAGGCAGGCATAACATTGAAGGCTGAAATGGAGAAGGGAATTCGCTTGCATCTCAGTTTTTACCATGGGACAGCTAGGAAACATCGTTATTACTGCACACCCGTTTAAACTGGGGGGGGGGGGGGAATAGCCCGCCGTTCAGCCTCGCTTTCTTTCTGTGCCTCTTTGTGCTTCCATTGTAGCATCCACAGAGTGGCTACAAAGCTTTCTGCCTCCATGATCAGCAGCAGAGAACTAACCGTTCATTTTTTCCCCCCTCTTTGCTTCCAAATGTGTTAACCTAGATGATGGTGAATAGAACAACTGAGGTATATATAAACATATTATATATATATAAAATAAATATATATGCATCATCACTCTTCCACAATGTAGAGCTGCTGCATTGTTTCTTCTCTGCATTGCCTTTTAGAGGAGTAGAAACCTGCTTTAGAGTCAACAATGTAGCATGTGCTAGAGAAGAATGTAGTTTTAGATAGCCAGGGCTTTCTGCAGCCGAAACAAGTGTTTTAAACGTGGAGAAGCAAGCTTCCTTTGGAGCGAACTATCACCCCCGAAAAGAGTCCTTTTGCATAAGAGGAATGTGCCCAGGCTTCCAATGTTGTATCAACATTTTATCAGCCGTGTCAAGAGCTGCAGACATCCCTGACACATGTTTGCATCCAGGACTCAGTTCCTTTAGGCTCCTGCATGACACTTTACTGTCGGTGTCAATGAAAGGAACTGGCTCTTCCAAGTGACTCAGAAATGTGTAAACACGCTCCAGGTGGAGGCAGTGACAGCTAGCATGGCTAAAGAGGCTTGCCAATGATCTTAGAAGTGTGTTGATTTTCCTCGGAGGTTTCATTGCGAGGACGGATTGAATTGCTGCATGTTTAAAAAAAAAAAGGACATTTTAAAATGACTTAAATATATAAACAAGTTACTGAAAATATATGATTGCCTAGGTGCTATCAGAGTGTTAACCCAATGGGAGATCTATTTTTAAATCTTTTTTAGAAGGTCCCTTCAAAAATCACATTAACCTCTTTTTAAAATAGACTTTGATGTTGTCTTAATTTGCATCTCCTCTGACTTTATGAAACATGTTCAGCATTTTGCATTTCTGCAAGGAAGTTTGGTAAAATATTTAACTTGCAAGGATTATAAAATACTGATAACAAATCAATATTCCCAGTAAGAAATCGATTTAGCAAGTTAAGGAAGTGATACCATTTTCATTGTATTGAATTTTCTTTGGCAGATCTCTTTTTACAATAGCCAAATCTCTCATTCTGCTCCTATTGTCCAAGAATAGGTATGGGAAATTCCCCCACCCTCCCTGCTGAATATATTTTATTCACAGTCTTCAAACAAGTCATAAAATAGTCCAGTTATTTAAACTTAGAACAGAACCTACTATTCTCTATGTCTCTGAATCCAATTCTGCAAACAAAAAAACCCATACATTTTAGGAGCTACTTGAAGACATTTGGGGAGAAAATAATTTATATTTTGCTGTGCGTGTTGTGTTTTTTCCTCTCTTTCAGAGTGGTTTCACTCCCCTCCACATAGCTGCCCACTATGGAAATATCAATGTAGCGACGCTCCTTTTAAATCGTGGTGCTGCTGTGGACTTCACTGCAAGGGTATGTGCTAATTTTTAGCAGTTTCTCTTAAATTTAGCCTCTAAAGCCTGGTGGAGACCTAATGCTTAATCATGATGAGTGCAAGCCACGGTTTGTTGTCTGTTTTGGAACATGCATAGGGAAGTACTGGCAAGATTGGGGTCACTTTTCGAGCAGAGAATTGGGGGAAAACTGCTTGTAGTTTGCTCGACATGGATATAACATGCCCCATTTCGCAAGCCCACTTCAAACCTTCTTCCACACCCATCATGCTCGACCACTGTTCAAAAAACAAACCTAGGTCCTAAGTGAGAAAGGTACAACAGCTGCTAGGGAAGATGCGTAAGAATAGGATGCCGAGGGATCAAAGTTTCATTTCCTGGTATGTATTCCTGCTTTTTCCATGCCTAGGAAAAGCGGAGTAAATTTTACAAATTGTGTGTGTGTGTGTGTGTGTGTGTGTGTGTGTGTGCGCGCAAGGTGCGGGATTCAGCTCTTCTTGCTACAGAGTTATAAGTGACTTCACTAATTCACTTTACTTAAATTTGCAAGTACCCAGAACCCAAGCTGCTGGAAATGAGGCACTGGAATGGGCAGGTGGCTAGGATGACCGTTCGGTCATTCATGTGCATGTCAGCCCATCAAGATCACATCCAGTCGTAATCTGCAGTTTGCACGTTTCTCAGTTCCTTTTTACTTGAGTGATTTAGCAATCCAAGCATTGTTCAGCCATGGTGAATGGCAGATTCATATGCCTGAGCAAGGCAGGATGGGACAGGTGTGTGTGCTTTACGTGGTCCAGACTTTTGATCCTTTTGACCCAAAAACAGACATTTAAGCTGGCACAAAATGTAATTTCTCAAGGAGTCCTCGGACATGGAGTAGCTCCCAGTTTGGCCTTCGGGTTGTCCGACAGCCTTGTGTAACGTTTGCTGGGTCACTTCAACCCACCTTCCTTGTTCTCCTGGCAACCTGGTGCTGTAATCCAGAACACCATGTTCCATTAAGCCATGTTTGCCTATCCTCCCATCTTTTGGGTCTGCCCTTCCATGGCTGCTTGAAAGCTTTCCCCACAGTTTCTGCCCCCTTAGTGAAATTAACCACTCATTATGGGCCCATCTGCTGCCAACATCCTCCCCACACCCTGTGGGGCTTAATAATCCTGAAAAGTCCTTGCGCATGTTTGCCTTCCTTATCTTTACTCTCATATATTTCTCGCTGTTCACAACCTCTTTTCAGAAATGCCAGGTTGTGGGAGGTGTAGCTACCCCCCCTCGTGCGCGCGCGCGCGCACACACACACACACACGCTTTCCTCCCCCACCAGCTGCAGTGAGAGGTGGGCAGTGAAATAGGTAGAAGAGGCTGCAGGAGAAGCATCCGTCCCCCAGCCCCAGATGAGCATCAGGTTTAAAGCTAAACCAGGAATCTCCTCAGCAGTCCTAACAGCACCAACAATGCTGTGGGTGGTCGCAGAAATAAAAAAAGCAGCATCCCCATTAAGGAGTGATTCTATTTTGATCGCAAGTGCCAGCCCGGTGCCAGCAAGCACTAATATCAGGGCTCTCCTCGCCCCCTCTTCTCCTGACTTTTAATTCCAAGAGCACCTGTTGTTCTGCCTCCTCCAGAAAGAGAGCTAAGAAAGGCAGCTCTGGGAGTTTTGGAGAACATGTATCCAAACTGTTTTTCTACCAGGAGGGTTTCTCCTGGAAATGGAATCCGGTTCCCATTGAATCGTTCTGCCTCTTTTATACGGCCCCAGCTAGAAGTCGCAGATATTTTTATTCTTTCATGGTGGCGGGGAAAGATCTCCAAAGTGAATCAGCAAATGCCCAGGCAATCGAAAAGCTTCTCAAAAGACAAATGGACTCCAAAGAGATTGCACTGTGCAAGGTCGGCAGTGGAAGGCAATTGCCATTTTTCTTCATCAGGCCGCTTAAATGGGGGACAGGGTCAGCGACAGAAGCCAGCCACGTGGGCTTTGTGCCACAGAGCCACCCACAACCCGCCACCGATCTCAGCATCGATTTCCATGCAGGAAAAATCCTGCCTGTGGGCAATTCTGCCATGAATCTGAGCCCCTATTCCCCCCAAATGGAAGTGTTTCCCATATGCACCAACGGGACATCTGCCCGGCTTCTCTGACGAACCTTCAAAGCTGTTTTGAAACTTCAGTCTTTGTAGTAGCTTCAGGGTTTCTCTTTCCTGAGCTTTCTCCAGGAGAGGCGACCCCCCCCACACACACACACACACTCCGGATGTTCACAGGGCATGTGCTGAGCACCACATGCTCCTAGTCCTCTTTTCAGCACCGAAGGGGAAGGTATAGCTTGGCCAGGCCAGTCTTAGCTGTCCATCTGCAACACACAAGATTAGCTGTAACACTGAACTGTGACATAGTATTTCAGGCTTTGGAGAGCTTCACATAGGCTTCCTTTGAACAACAGCCCTGTAAAGCAGGGCGATAGTCATTATTTTTATTGATAATGCGCCTATTGCTAAGATGCAGCGGCTTGCCTGAGGCTGGTTCCTGAGTCCATGGTGGGGGCCGGGCTGGGGCCAGAATCCAGGGATTTTTGCTAGCCACTCTGCTTATGGCAACTAGCAAAAAGCCAGTCATTGGCAAAAGTAAAAGCAGTATATTGACTTAATATCATGGAGTGGAGTCCTGAGTCATCAAGGGAATGGATTTAATGATGCTTCATTTGTATGGTACCATGTGTGTATGTGGCACTTCACAAAACAGCATAGGCACACACAAAATGGTGACACAACCCTACTCCTCAAAACCTAGACTAAATGTTGATGGCGTCTAGAGAATGAGTGGAGGAGCAAATGTCTCCTGTGCATTTTCTTTCCCTTAATAAATACATTTTGTAAAGCCCAGAAGCAGAGGACCTCCTTCCTCAATTTTTTTCTTACAGTGCAATGTGTACACAAGAATGCAAATTAGATTCTCTTTTCTAGCATGTGGCTTTGCTCCACTGTCCTCTTCTGTACTTAGTATAGTTCTTTATTTTTGGAAGAATGGATACCTTGAAAACTGGTATTTTTGGAAGAAAGGGTGCCTTGAAAAAAGGCTATGTAATGGCTATCGTAAGCTGTTCGTAAAGCATGATGGAAAACTCATATCATGAACAGTCTAATACAAGCTGGCCTGGCACAGGGGCAGAGGGACGATACACAGGCCTGTTTTGACCACTCACTTGGCTGTGTTGCCCTCCCCCATCTAGAATAACATCTGGATGATTTTACATATCGGCGTCCTTGTCCATTTTAGGGGTGCAGTTTTTATTCATCCAGTTATTAGACACCTTCCCAAAAAAACCAAGGTCCTAATTTAAACGCAACACTAGCATCATCATCATCCTAGTATGCTGCTAGTTCTTTTCTACAAAAAAACAAAACCACTGTTTTCATTTTAAGTTGCATGTGCACATTTGGAAATGTGCACTACACACTGTAAGAGAGCCATTTAAGTAATTTATCAGGAGGAAAATGGCATCGAGCTACATCTTGGATCTTTGCGCCTGAGCGAGTTTGTTATGTAATTGTCCTGAATGTGCAGCACATGTGCGTATGACTGCCTTGCTAAACAGACGCTCACAAATGAAGATGAAGGTTTGCTTTTAAAGGTGTGCATTTATCAGAGGACCACTGCCGTGAGAGAAGGTGACGTGGCCGCTATAGATTTTGACAGCCGTTGAAGGTTGCTCAGGGAAAGGTGGCTGGAGAAAGTTTCTTTGACCCATTTGTACATTTATTGCATTTCCGTCCTGCATTTCCTCCATTGTGGAATTCGCGGTCGCATAGGTGGGGTTCCCGGGTGTCTCCCGTGGGGGCAGTGGCCACACCCACACCTGCTTCATTTGGACACATGGCCCCACCGTTCAGCAGGTGACTTCATCCAGTTCTCCTGTGCAAGCCCAGATGAAATGAGCTCACAGACTCACAAAGCCACCCTTGTGTGACTGCACTGGTTTCAGTGGCATCTGTGAGGAGTGCTTTCCTGAGGGATCGAGCCATGTGTTGCATCAGCCTGTCCACGGGGAACACCATCTGGGTTTTTCCTCAGGCATCCATATACCTTGGGCTAGCCCAGCCCTTCACGGAACAGAATGGTGTTGTTTCCTGTTGCCCAGATGGTTCGTGGAAGCTAATTCCTAGCAAGTGACTCACGTTCCTATTGGTAGGACATCTTGATTTAAAAAAAAAAAATCTAATTCATGCTACATGGGATCCTTTCTGACCTTAGATGAACTGGTTTTATCACCCAGCCAGGAAGTATTATTTCTAGTGGAGCCAGAATTCTTTAGGGGTGGGGAAAAGACGATGAAGCCAAGGGGCCTCCAGAGAAGAGCCACTTTGAAGCGCTGTCGTGTCCATTCTGTTCACACAGTTGCCAGCCAACCACAGGAAATGCACAAGTGGGACAGGTATGCACCTGCAGGCTTCCAGCCAAGTTCTTCAGCAACTGGGATATGCAGGCATAATCCCTATTGGATACTGGGATCAGGACCAATAGCCATTGATAGCTGTATCCCCCTAAATTCATCTCATTCCCCTTTAGATTGGTGGCCATCAGCAGACCTCGTGGAAGCCAATCCAAGAGCCTAACTATTTGGCGGGTGAAGAAGTGCTTCCTGTGATCTGTCCTGCATCTCCCCAGAAACCAACTTCATGGGATGAGTCCGGTTTCTAGCATTATTAGAAAGGGAGAAAAACATTTTCCTACGTAGTTTCTCTGTACCACGTGTCTTTTGGCACACTCCTGCCCTGTCCCCCTCGCTTATCATTTCTGCAAGCTCAGCAATCCTAGCAACCTTTCGATACGGGAACTTCCCTAGCCCCTTGATCACGGTAGTTGCCCCCTCTTCACTTTTTCCAAGTCTGCAATATCCTTTTTAGCAGCAGTGACCAGAATGGTATACAAAGAGTGGACTCGACTTAGATTTGCATAAGGAAAATAAGATTGCACAAGTTTTATTTGCAGTTGCTGTCCTGCTCATGACTAACATGGAGCTGGTTGTTTGCGCATCATCTGTACACAGGGTTGACATACTCACTGAGCTGCCCACCAGGACATCAAGATCTTTTTCTTGGTCAGGTACTTCTAGCTCCGACCCTACCATCTTATAGCTGAAATTGGGATTCCCCGCCACCCACCCACTGCTGCGAACATCCATCACTTTATACTGGCTTACACTGAACTGTGTTTACCATTCCCCCAGTTTGGGGAGATCCTTTCAGTGCTCTTCACAAACCCTCTGGACTTTATTTCATTTTTATACTGCTCAATAGCCCAAAGGCTCCCAAAGGTTTTAACCCCCATTCCAAATAATCTGGTGTCATCAGCAAAGTTGGCCATTTCACTGCTCGCTCCTAATTCTAGATAATGCACGAACAAAGGGGGACGCCTTGGTCCTGTTAGAGTCAGGATGAGCCTTGTCAGAATCCATCCCTCTAGCATCCATGGACATCCTCTCATGCTTGGCCTGATCCTGCAGAGCAAGCCAAGCCAAGGGGAAGTCTGCAAATGCTTGCAGGGTCCCCAGGTATTGTTTGAAAATGCTGCTGTTGGGTTTGTTTTCTTGGAAAACCAAGTTATTTACTGAGAGAAAATAGGAAATTCATTTGTAGCTATTTATTGATACCTATTGATTTAGAGCTTCTTAATATGAGAAGGAATGGAAGAGTTGGCTGCACTGGTCTCCTTGCTCTGCTGCTAAAGTCACCTAGGCGCTTAATGTGTTCATGTGATGATGCTTTGGCACAGGTGCGCTTTGCACACAGGGTGAGCGTCTCCCTAAGTCTTGGCTAGTTTGGCCCTACTGAGGCTGCACTCGCTCTGATTCAAGGGCCTCCTCCGAAAAGCAAGGGAGGCTTCAGCTGGACTAGCGAACTCTGGCTATCAGGAGCCTCATCTCCTCCTTCAAACAAACACCAACCTCAGGCCGCTTCTCTTGCAAAGCATTCTTTCTTGCTTCTAAATGCAATCATCTAGATGAGTCTCCGAACATACCCAGAGTGGTTTGTTCAACCCAATCTAGTGATTATTTCCTGAAGCTCTCCTCATGTGCACATTTGTGCCCCACCCCTTTGGGAGGGGCCTTCTGAAAGTGACCACGCCTCCTCTCTGCTCATATAATTAGGCCTCCTGCCTCTGCTGGTCCCTGGCCACTGGGTCCAGCTCCAAGGAGAGGGGCTGATCCAGGTTCGAGAGTTCCTTATCCCCAGTAGCCCCTTCCACTCACTGCCTACCTGAGCTGCTCTCAGAAACAGTCTGGTGTCGCACCGCAAACAGCACTGAGACAGCCATCCCTGTCTTCCTCCTCCTGTTGCATCCCAGGGCCTTGAGCCAACCCAAGCTCTCCAGTCTTGCTGAGGCATCCCCCTCCTCCTCCATCTCTGAATCAGCACCTCCCCATGGCTGGTGTCCCATAAGAAAGCTTGCCCTGGCCCCTCGTCCACCTTGCTCCCAGCACTAGCTTCAATCAAGTGGGGTTGTGGGTCAGTGGAGCCCCCAGGAGTGGAGGCTCCCTGTTTAGGGAAGAGGACAATTGTCAGTGAGTCATTGGGGGCTCATCAGACAAGAGACAGGAGGAGCATGGCTCAGGTTTCCCTGGGCATACAAGGGACTGGGAAGCCGACTTAGGAAGGCACAAGGTTTGCAAGGGCCTGGTCCCTTTGAGTGTGAGTTTTAACACTAAGCAATGAGTTTCAGTGTAAGACTGTGGATAAATATTTCTCTGCTGTTCTGTAAGACCCCAAAATCGAGCCCAAACTGAAGCTATCCTGTGCCTTTCTGTTTATAAGCAGACTCTTCCACTGGCTAGGCCTGCACGGTGGATTGGGTCCATGTAGAGCTATGCATTGCTTTTTCACCCCTTTCTAAACTTGGGTCAAATTTAAGTATGTGCTTGAATATCCCTTCAACCATTTGGGTATCTCTGTTCTAACAAGGCGGCAAGAACTCTTTCAAGTTCTGCTGGTTTCCACCCGGGATTTCACTGTGCCCGTATCTGGGCTTCTGCAGATGATGTATGCCTTTAAATGAGTTTTAAATGCTTTCCTCAGGTAAGTTAATAGATAAAAAAGAAAATAGCACTAGCCTTTTCCTTGCATGGGTGCGTAACTCACTTGTGCATTGACGCAATACCACACACTTCGCAAGATATGAAACAAGGACACAAAAGTGGGAATGGAAATGGGAGACCTCGGCTAAAGGAGGCAATAATTCTTAAGAACATTTCCGATAAGATGTGAGGAACAGCACTGCACGCTGTGTGTACACACATTTCTCCTCCCAGTCCCATGTTATTTCTCCCGCCCCATCTCCCTGGTGCCATCTGTCCCAAGCACCTCTTGCAGGTTTTTGAAGTGCTACAAAAACCTGTGAGGTGAGATGATGAGCGTACCTGTCACAAATCCCACTGCTGCTTTGTGGGAAAGACTTCAGCTCTCTGAAGAGTCAACAGCTATTCCCAAGGTCTTCCTTAAATCCCCAGTTTTAGATGTACAATACTTGCTAGGGGATCTGAGGCAAACCACGGCCCCTCGGTCTCAGCTGCCCACAGTGCTGCCTTGAAGAGCAAATAAGGTCAGATTGCATGGTCCTCGAGGCGCCAAAGTCTCCATGTGAACAGCTTGCCTGAGCAGGGTTTCAAATCGAAGACTTGCCAGTGTGTGTCCAGCATCTCAGTCCAGTGCCCTGCCAGCAACACAGAGGAAGGAACTGCTCTGGAACACCATGGTCTATTTGACCTAGGCGATCTGGGCATCTTGCAAGAGGGCTGGAATGACCTCCAGATTCTGTTTTGACCTTCAGGGGTTGGGAAACATTTCTGTAATGTTTCTGGAAAACAGTGAGGGCAGCTATCTGTGTTACCAAGGGTGCCCCTGGGAAGAGTAGGGGCGCCTGGTTCCCATCGGGCCATTCTGGTCAAGGAACACGGCTGGGCGGCTGCTGCTGCTTTTCGCAGCTCCGCATAAAGCCGCGGCAGAACTTCTTTAACAGATGGAAGGGAGGGTGCCTGTATTCCCTTTGTTGCTTTGAATCAATCATAACATCTGCCCTCTGCTGAGACAGCAAAGAAGCGTCTTCCATTGCCCCACCAAAGCCTCTGAGATATCCATCCCTCTCCTTGTGCTAGCCAAATAACTCCATGAAACCAGGAGGCACTTTTGCTTGGCCTGAATCTAAACTGCATAAACAAGCATCCAGAGAATCACAGCGTGTGGAGCAGGCTGAATCCCATGGAGGGGATTACCTTGGATCACCCTTGTTTGTTTCTTTTTCCCAACAGAACGATATCACTCCATTACACGTCGCTTCGAAGAGAGGGAATACCAACATGGTTAAGCTGCTACTCGACCGAGGAGCAAAAATCGATGCCAAAACAAGGGTAAGGCTGACGATAAATTATCCTGTATTATACCGTATGCGTCTGGCATGAAGCTCATTGAAAGGAGTCCTGTTGGCTTTGTTTTTCATACTCCGCACGGGCTGTTGAACCAGCTGATGGTTAAAAATAAATATTTTAAAAAAACAGTAAAAAGTTAAAAATAAATCAAAACAGAGATCTATTCACAAGCATTGGTCAATAGTAAGACACCCTCCTGCAATTTAAGGGTTTTATCAGTGGTAGAGGGTCTTTTAAATCAGTCTTCTAACAAGGAAGAGTTAGTTAACCAGGTGGAATTCACCTTTCCTTCCACTAGTGGGGCCGTTTGGCGGCTGAGCAAGAATCGCTGTTGGCCATTGATTTGGTGTTCAGCTCCTTCCTCCCTGACATGACGGAATAATCCCAACTGTTGGCTTGGCCTGCAACTCCAAAGTGCAAAACAGATTTTCTGTCTTGCTTGGGGACTGATTTTTTGATACGTGAAGGAACATTTTGTTTCAATACTCCGCAGCTGGCAAGCAACGTAAGAGCTAAATGCACAGCCGAGCTAGCCAATAAATGAAGTCTGTTGCTGCGTCACTTTCCATGCAATGGCAGCTGAGCAAAAAAAAAAAAAAAAAAAATCTGTTGATGGCGGATTTCACTGCTGGGTGTATTAGAAGCATTGCTGATTTTCTTTAAAAAAAAAATCACTGCTTGTGTAACCCACACACCAAACATTGCCTCTCTGATCATGTTTCCCCTTTCTCTGTCTTCCAGAATAGATTTCAGCAAATAAAGCATATTTAGTGCACTTGATTAAATTAGCTCGACTTAGTTTGGCGGGTTGAGACTGTGCTTGCCAAGATGAATTTGTGTTTGTCACAGACAGTGAGCACATTTTATGCAGGATTAGCAGTCAGCCCTTGTAATCTTCCGTCTACAGTGTTGCAGCTGAAATGAAAGGCCAGCTCTTGAACCTGCAGCAAAACATGCTGTGCGTACAGTTTTGTGATCTCTTGGGCCAGCTGGTGTGTTCCTCGCAGCTACCGTGTTATAGGAAAGCTAACAGTTGCCTGCCTCGGGGAGCACGCGTTCTCTTGAACAACGCGTCTTCCATCCGCCCAGTGCACCCACTCCCCCTGCAGAGTGCGAGTAGCTTGCTTGGAGTGGGGCAGGTGGCGGAATGCGAGCTATGCAAGAAGGGCCCAATGTTGCTCCTTCCTTGGCCCGATGGAGGGACCGTGCAAGAAGGAGAGTGCTCTGTTGAACGCAGCCGTCAGTGGCGGAGCACACCTTGCATGCAGAGGGTCTCAGCATCTCCAGGTTGGGCTGGGAAAGCCTTCTGCCTGGAATCTTGGAGTGCTGCTCCATATCCGTGTTTACAGGACTGGGCTGGATGGCGTACCGGTTTCGTGTTTCTGTGCTTGTGGAGTCCACTTCTATCCCTGCTGGGCTGCTTGGGCTACGTTCTCACAGGTGGGCATGGAGAGGTTCTGCATAAGGATTTTCTCCCCTGTAAATGAGAAAGTTGGCCACCACATCCACCAGTTCTGGCACTTGTGCCAGAAGTATGCATGCATGCATTTAAAGCTTCTATATCCTAGAATCATAGAATAGTAGAGTTGGAAGGGGACATGAAGGCCATTGAGTCCAACCCCCTGCACAGGACACCACGTTACACCATCCCACTCGGAGGGCTGCCCAGTTTCTTTTTGAATGTCTCCAGTGTGGGAGAGCCCACCACCTCCCCAGGCAGCTGGTTCCACTGTCATATTGCTCTGACAGTGAGGAAGCTTCTCCTGATGTCCAGCCTGAATCTGGGCTGTCGCAACTTGAATTGATTATTCCATGTTCTACACTCTGACATCAGTAAGAAGAGATCTTGACCTTCCTCTTTGTGACAGCCTTTGAAGTACTTATAGAGGGATATCATTTTCCCCTTCAGTCTTCTCTTCTCAGGGCTGAACATGCCCAGTTCCTTCAGTCGCTCCTCACAGGGCAGTGTTTCCAAACCCTGGATCATTTTTGTTGCCCTCCTCTGCACCCTTTCTAATTTACCTGCATCTTTCTTAAATCTCAGTGCCCAGAACTGGACGCAGTCTTCCAGGTGAGGTCTGACTAGTGAGGAGTATGGAGGAACTACTACTGTGTCTTAGGGCTGTGATGCAATAAAATACGATAAAGTATAGCATCAAAAAAAAAAAAAAAAAGTAAATGAAACCCAATCTTAAAACCGGTTTAACATTTAAAATAAACATTTTAACATTTAAAATGGGGAAATAAAAAGGTTTCGGCCTGGCGCTGATTATGCAATATGCTCAAAATATACTCAGCTGTATGTTAGAGTAAACATTGCTTAGATTGCAAGAATAATTCTGGGTGGAACTAGGACATGCAGAGCCTGGGAGGTAAGGCACAGACCAAGGAAATAATCCACTTGTCAAGCAGCAGTTCCTGGAGGAATTTGGTGGGTCAAAGTTGGAGCTAAGATATAATCTTGCGGGCTATGTAGAGAGCTGGGCGTGATGAGAGGACTGGTTGCAAAGCTGGAAATGAAACAGTTATATTTTATTTATTTATTTATTAAAATATTTTTATGCCGCCCCATTCGCCGAAGCCTCGGGGCGGCTTACAACATAGATAAAACAATAAGTTAAAATATCCATATCAAATAATCTTAATTAAAACACACATTATAAAATAAGCCGCCCTGGCCAGATAAAATTCAATTGTATTTAGCATTTAAAATGTTGCTTAAATAAAAAGGTCTTAGCCTGGCGCCGAAAAGCAAATAACGACGGCGCCAGGCGGACCTCTCTGGGGCGCGCATTCCATAACTTAGGCGCCACCGCTGAGAAAGCCCTTCTCCGAGTAGCCACCCTCCTAATTTCTCTCACGGAGGGCTCCCGGAGAAGGGCCTCTCCCGCCGATCTCAGGGGGCGACTGGGCAAATATCTGTAGCATCTTTAACTGTGATAATGATGAGGTGGATTATATGAAACAGCCTTCGCCTGGTTAATGTGGAATTTATGCCCTGGTTATTGAGGACAGACTGATTCAGCAATTTAAGGGAAAAAAAGTTAGAACCCTGTTAACAGTTGTAATTTTATCTTTGAACCGTATCTTAGGGTATGGTTGTTATTAAAAAAGAAGTATGAAATTATTTTCTACTTAAGGTCTAATTCAGAATTAACAACAACCCAGAGATTCAGTTGAGATGCAACAACAATGTTTAACAGTAATTTGTGGTTAAATATGGATTAACCCACAAATTGTTGGGGGAGAGACATACCAGCTACTGGTTGGTATGTTTCACCAACATCCTACAATTTTTCATTAATTTTCAATGTGAATTAAATTGTGTAAATGAAATAAAATAGTACAGTTTTCATACATGAAATTTGAATAGATCAATTAGAGTTGTTGCATATGAAATTTGTACCCTTTTATATAAAACAAGACATGCTTTTATCCATAAGCTTAGTTGTGCATGGTCTTCAAAGAAGACAGAACGAATATCTATCCAGGTTATGTCTGAAGACCACCCATTCATTAACTCCTCATTCGATTGCATTATTGGAAGTATCCATATGCCCTTCCAATACTGTAATATCAGTCCTTTAGTTGCAAAATGGCAGAGAAAATCCATTTGTGTTGACATTTAAGAAGCAAGTAGATAATTAAGGAGAACATGTACAACATTAAATATTAAAGAGCTTTCCAGGACAAATTTATCCATATAATTACCTCCTTTCCAAAGAGGTAGCCATTGGGCTTTGCCAAAACATATGATAAGAGAAGCATTAGCTTTATTATACGTCTAACAGTAGCCGATTAAAACCCTTATTAAAAAGACATTTTGGCATCCAATTTACATATAAGTTTATGCTGAGTAAGACATAACCTGAGATCCATGGACCTTTCTGAAATGAATGCTAACATTACAATCCATTGATTAGGTAAGACAGGATGATGCAATTCACAGTTCTATTCTTGCTTAATATCTGTGTATCTTATTTAATCACTCATAATAAGTATTGTAAACATGGATCATGGATAAATGCAGCTGGTCAACTTTAATAAGTGGCTCTAATTTGGGAGTGACTCCCAAAGTTGCAGAAGAAGAAGGGTCAGGATTCAATTGCATGTATTACTCTTCAGCTGTAGATGGCATGTATTTCCTACACATGGTGGAACATGGCAGAACATTACCATCATGTCCCACCAGCTAATTCAAGGTAAGAATCAGCTTATCCATCCAAATCTGCCAGACAAAAGTTTTCTTACTCATTTTTAAATCTGGGTTTCTCCATAAAATCTAAATTACGTTTGCATGCAAAAATAGATCAAAACATAGCTGACATGACATTGTGGACAGATGTGGCATTCCTGGGTTGTTTTCATGATGAGTTTCTTCTTGGATCGCAGGCTTGGGATGTCACTGAGACTATCTATGAATGTTACATTTGTATGCTATTGCTGGAAAGAGAAAGCGTGCAGTGTACATCCTTTCAATACATGGGTTAATCAACCCACAAATTACTGCCAAATACCACTTTAACATCCAACAGGGCCAGGATATGTGTTGCATCTTGTTATGAGCTGGAGTTCCTCCTTCATGCATTCAGAACGCACAATGTTTTTTCCTACAAACATTGACCAAAAGGCACAAAGTAAAATGCACAGAGTAGTTTGTTGAATCCAATCTAGTAATCACCTCCAGGAACTCTCCTTATGAGCATGCCTGGGCCTCATCCCTTTGGGAGGAGCCTTCTGAGAATGAGCATGCCTCTTCTCTGTGTGTTGATCCTTTAATTTGGCCACCCTCCTCTGCTGATGAACCATCATGGATCAAGAGCCATGGCCACCTCATCTGCATCTAAGAAGTTCCCCTGCTCTGAGTCCCTCCACTAGGTGTACATCTTATTTATTCCCAGAGACTGCCTGCCCACCTGGGGAGTCTGGCCTTGAGATAAGCACCTGTGCTTCTCTCATATCAGTGTCTTGGCTTGGCCCACATTCCCAGACCCCCTCTTGTTCCTCCCCTCCTGACTCTGATTCTTCTGGAGACCAGTCAACAGCCCTGCAGAGTAAGTACCCAAGGTAGCCATCTTTCGCACTCCCAACAAGTATGGATTGTCAGTAAATTCTGGGGTGTTGTTACATGGAAATTCTGGATGGTTAACCATGAATGACCCAGAAAGAGAACCCTGGGTTGTTGGATTGTGAACTCTGGGTTGTTCATGCCTGAAAACCCATTGTTAAACAATGATGCAGGGTTTGCATGTAACAACAACCCAATATTTAACAACCCACAATTGAATGCCGATCCATACTCAGCCTATACATGGAACTGTCATTATGTATGAATCAATGTCAGCAATAAAGATTCAACCAGCAGCTGCAAAGGTGTGCATGATATCACTGCTACCCAAATTTAAACAGAATTCCTATTGCGGTCTTACTGGCTTTTCATATCACAAGGCCCTCTGGAAAGCTGGATAAAGCAGATGGCCCTGTTAATATTTGTGTCAGTGCATCCTTGATCTGCTAATTGTGTCATAATAATTTGAAAATGTTTCCCCTAAAAAGACTATTTTGGGTGGATGGGTAGATGTGGTGGATTTTATGCTTCACATTATGTGTGCCCAGAAAATAAACACACATAAAATACCTTTTATCAGTTCCAGTGCAGCATTGATAAATGGGGTAGTAGTTACTTTTAATGTCCTTTATCTCCCACTGCTATGAGAATGTAACACGAGGGCAGATCTAGATGAGATTTAATGGTTAGTTTCGTTTTGTGTCCTTTCTTAATTATTTGAATAGGAAGCATTTCATGTAAAGGGGAGCAGAGGCAAAAAACACTCAGACTCTTTTGGTACCTTTGCGCTATTGAGAGAGATTGAGATTTGCTTCCCAATTGTTCACCCCTGAAAAGAGGGGCCCTGATTCTGCACCGAAATCCTGACTGATTTAAACAATTGTTCTGCCTTTTCCAGCAGAAGGGCCACCGTTCTGTCTACTACAGAAGTGCCTGAAAGCTGCAGTCACATTATTTCAAGCAGCCTGTCAAATTTTATGCACATTTTATAGTGTTTGATGCTTGCCAAATCATGGCCTTGGATAGGCTAGTAAGAATTTCTTGGCTCTTGTATGGAGTAACTACAACTGTGTGTGTGAATTCTGGATTCCTGTGAAAACCTAGGCTTTAAAGCTGACCATACTTCAAAGCATTCTAGCAGTTTCATGTGTCAGAGGCTGCAATAATGATTTTGGGTATAACATATAATTCACTGCTAGCTTGCCCAATATGCGTAGCTTAGCCATGCTGTCTCTGCTTGATGTAGCAAATGGTGGCTCACTTGATTAATTCCCAAATGAGAACTTGAACAAGATTTGCCTTGTTCCTCCTCCTCCTGTCCCCCATCTATGACTTCTTTGTCCCCCACCTTTCAAGCAAGTTCTGGAAACATGTTTCTTCCAGAAACTATTCAAACTCAAGCTTTATTTACCCCCTAAGAAAAGGATAGAGGACAGGAGAGAGGTCTCCGTTGTTATGGAGCGTCTCCATTTCTTCAGGACTTGATTTATTAATCAATGGAGTGTTCTTTAATCACTCTTCGAGACTGTGATGGGATGTGGATTAATGGAAGAGAAGGAGGAATCTTTGAGAGGTATAAAGCTGAGGCATATCAGATTTCTTGAATTGTCAACTAAAGGAAACCCTGGAGCATTGCACTTTATGGCTTCCACATGGCCAAAATTAGTGTGGAAGGAGGTTTGCCTTCCTTGCAATGGTCCCCAGATATCTAAGAAGTCTTCCTCTTATAACTGTGAATCTAAAATAGCCCTCCACAACCTGATGTCCATCAAATGTTTTAGGCTACAGCTCCCATGAGCCCCAGCCTCCATGGTCAATGATGGTGTTAGAAGACCAGATGTCTGGAGGGCATCAGGATGGGAGAGGCTGGTCCAAAAGAAAACATCTTTGTCCATTATTTCCATATCATATTTTGGACGTTCTTTATCTCAGCTTAATAGACTACAATATGAACAAGACTTTTGCCCATGCATTTAGCCCCTTCAGTTCTTTCTTTGTGATATGAACAATCATTCTAGGAAATCTTTAATTGCTCCTTTGCCCAAACAGGGGAAGTATTCTTGCCCACTCCAGGGTATTAACCTAATCTCAACCCAATGATTAATATCTGGCTTTAGGGGAACCTTAAAGAAGAAGCACGTTAAGACGAAATGCAGACTATGGTTAACTAGAGGTTTCCTGGGATGGTTGTTTGCCCCAGAAAGGGAGGAGCAAAGGGGCTGTAGGCAGAGGCAAAAGGCTTGAGATTTGATTGCCCGTGCCAAGGTGCTGAATTTCTGGGGTCAGTGAAAGTGTAGGGTGCTCAGCCCTTCAGGTGGTCATGTCTCAGCTGGCTAGGACGTGCTTCCAGGTGGTTTGGACCATTTGAGGGGAGAGCAGAACCTTAATTGACCCTCCCCAGCTCATTCCCATTGCCCCGCTCTGTCGTCTTCACACGTTGGAGGGCACTGTCAAGGGCAAGGAGCCTGCCCTGCCCATGTAGGCCTTTCTGAGCATAGAGCAGACTCCCCATTGCAGATGTTACTCCGACAGCATAGAGAAATGGGGCAAACATCTGACAAGGGCTGCAGTCAGTACAGTGCTTCCTGAAGGTTAGGACCCCTGGGATATGGAATGGGCTTCCAAGGGAGGTGGCAGGGGGCCCATCCGTGAGTGCTGTGGCTGTGATTTCTATATTGCCTGTTAACTGAGGCAGTTCTCTGGGTGGTTCACAAGATTAAAAAATGGCAATTAAAATAAAAATTCACTGAAGCCACTGGAAGATGAATTTTTGAGGGGACTCCAAGGGGATCTTTTAGGTATGTGAGGGGATGTCATGTGGAGGAGGGCCATGAGCTGTTCTTCCCTGCAGTGGAGGGTGGGACGTGTTCCAATCGGGCAAAGCTCAAGGACCAGGCTTCAGGTTGGATGTTAGGAAGTACTTCCTGATGGTTAGGACCCCTGGGATATGGAATGGGCTTCCAAGAGAGGTGGCAGGGGCCCCATCCGTGAGGGTGTTCAAGGAAAGATCGGACCACCGCATGTTGGGGATTGCATGAGCGGAGCTGGCTGGAGCCGGGGATCTGACTAGATGGCCCAGGAGGCCCCTTCTGACTCAGTTTGTTTCTGTGTTTCTATGGCAGTGAATTCTCGTATTTCACAAAGGTAGGGCAGTAGCTTCAGCTCTACCACAACATAATGAATATAACTAGAGCATCCAATCTGATGAACCAAACCATAGATACAATATGCCTTGGCCTATATGTCTGTGCAGTGAAAGTGCTGGCGCTGTGGCTCACAAGCTGCCCAAATCACCCTAACTCAGTTGACACTGACTGACACTCTGGCTCAGAGGAACAGTGTGAGACGTGTCAAGGAAGCAAAGACGTGAGTAAATGCGAGGTAAACCTGCCAGGGCTCAGGAGCTGCCGCACCATCGCTCAATGCGACCACCGTGAGCAGAAGAGCAGGTACGTCAGTGCGCACTTGTGTGTGCCTGTGCAAAACCTTTCTGAGGCAGCTGTTGCTTTAACGATTGCCCTTGCAACAGTCTGAAGCATGCATTTTCTGGCTAGTTTTAGAGAGGCACCATTTATATTCAGCAAAATAACAGCACACTGTATAAGGGTTCAGGGTTTGTCCAATGGGGACGAGCAGCTGAAATGTGACCCTCCTGATCCTCTTGGCCTCTCGGTGACTTTTGATACCTTCCTTCGGGGTTGCGAGTAACCGGTTGTGACTTTCACATTCCACAGGATGGGCTGACACCTCTCCACTGTGGGGCACGAAGTGGCCACGAGCAAGTTGTGCGGATGCTGCTCGATCGGGGAGCTCCTATTCTTTCCAAAACAAAGGTAAGGTGGTGTTGGAATACCCTCAATTATATGTCTTTGTATCCTGAAGATTATATTCAGTCATTTCTTCTACTGGTCTCAGAAGTAGGAATAATGCTGTGTCCATGTAGTTTTGCTCCAGGCATGGATTCCAGCAGCTCTCTGTGGAGATGGCTATTATTGTGATGCAGGTGTTTTAACATTTGTAGTCCTTCTTTGTATTTTATCTTGTCGTCTTTATAATAAGAACCCTGTAAGGTAGGCCAACACTATAGCGGAGTGGTTGCGTCAAATGCCAATTTATGATTTCTTAGCAAAGACACTTTTTGAACCAGGAATTTGCTCATCTGTAACAGAATCTCTTGCCTATTACAGTCCAACAATCCAGAGGGAACAAGGTGGAGGAAAGCTGCGTGAAATTATCGTCATTTATTCCCAAAGATTTCATGTGCACTCTCCATAGGATCTGTTGTATGGCTTTATGCATGCATAAGAAAGATATGGGGGAAAACATCTATAAGAACAGGCTGTTTAATGTTATCTAAGGCTTAAAGCTAGTTAATACTGAAACTGGTTTGGCTCAGCTGCATTGATCCATGCTGATTGCATATTTTAAGGCAACTGGTAGCAAAGGGAGTTGGAAGGGATTTGCACTGGAGACAGAGAATGGAAGAGTACGAACCTGTGTTCCACCTACTCTCTACTTCAGATTTATTGATTAATACATATTTATCCTCCTCTGTCAGGCAGAAAGCTTGTCAGACTGGCTAATTGCATCCTTTGAAAATAAATTAAAAGTAAAGCATATGCAATCAAAGGCAGGATAAATCACCACTTGGAAACTTATAGCAAAATAAACGGAAGTAATGAAGGATCTTTCCTGGCACCAGAAAGATGACACCAGTAGGGCCTTAAGTGACAGGACACTGCTCCTGCAAAGGCCCTCTCATACCTCCCAAATTCTGAAGACAGGTGGGTGTGAGAGCCCCACAAAGATATTCCCACAAAGATCTCAGGAGTTGGCTCATTTGGGAGGAGCCGGTCCTCAAGGTGATCTAGCTGCAAGCCATTTAGGGGCTTTAAGGGTTAAGACCAGCCCTTAAACAGAGCACATGTCATTGTAGTTCCTTGAAAAAGGGGGGATGCATCCTGAACGCCCAGTCTCTGTGAGCAGTCAAGCAGCCCTATTTTGTGCACAACTGCACTTTGAAGACCCCATTCGAGGGTCCTCCCCTGTGCTGTGCGCAGCCGTGATGCAAAAGTTTAGTGGGACACGTCTAAGTAGGAGTAAGTGGGGTTGGGATGTCTCAGTCCTGGAGAGACCAAAGCTGCAACCCAGCTTGGCTAGTAAAAGGAGCCCGTGCACTGAGTCCACCTTGCCCACCCCCCACCCAAACTAGGCACTCTGCAAGACCGTCCCCAGGCCATGGACTTCGGGAGGGGAGCGCAACCCACTCCAAATTGAGGCATGTGTGTTCCTGCCTTCCTACATATGGCTAGGACCTCAGAAATGCTATGCTTGCCCTGGCTGGCAGTTATTAAAGGAGTCCAGCTTCCGAGTGACATAATGCTCCCTGGATAAACCTTTTTTTTCCTTTTTTACTGGCATTGCCTCGGGTTACTTTCACATTCCCATGGATGCTTTGCTTGGATAAGGGTGAATAACACCTGAGTTAAAAGGCTTGGCGACAATATCCTTGTTAATGAACTGGAAGTCTCTGTTTCAGTTGCAGAAGCTTACACGGCCGGCCGGCTGGCCGGTGGTTATGAGCTCCTTGCCAGCCAGGAGAGCTGGAGTGCTTCCCGGTGCTTCTGACTCTGCCCTCTCCTTCCTCCATCTGCTTCCAGAATGGCTTGTCTCCACTGCACATGGCAACACAAGGGGATCACCTCAACTGTGTCCAGCTCCTGATCGAGCACAACGTCCCGGTAGACGACGTCACGAACGACTATTTGACGGCGCTGCACGTGGCTGCCCACTGTGGCCACTACAAAGTTGCAAAGGTTTTGCTGGACAAGAAAGCCAACCCCAATGCCAAAGCACTGGTGAGTACGGAGCAGGGCTGCTATTTGCCGCTAGCAGAGTTTCCCAGCCATGGACTTGAAAGCTGGGTGTCCGACCACCAGGCAAGGAGAAGCCGTAATTGTTCACAGAGCTTTGCAAAAGAGGATTTAATCAGGAGGTTATCATTCGTTCCTTTCTCATGCAAATAACGTCCGCCTTGTGTCAGTGCAAACTTAAGGATGAGGATTCCTGCCTTTTTTGTCTCTCAGTGCTAGCGTTAGTTGACTCTGTTTTATGAGTGTGTGTGTGTGTGGTCTGACAGCTTGCCGTTGATACAACAGAACAGCCTAAAAGTGACCGGTAACTCCTGTTGCCAGTCAACATGGGAGAAATCCAGATTCTTTGTATGTTGAGAAATAACAGATAAAATCGCTTGCCCTGCAAATGATGTGCAGGGAGAATGCTTTGGGTTCTGAATGTTTTTGAAGTTTGCAAAGCAAGAATAAAACTGAGAAATAAGCACAAGTTTGTTCATGGGCTAATGGTAGGGATCTTGATATAATGACTTCAGAAAATGATCAACTTTCCCCCCCAAATGTCATATTTTTCTATAAGCTGTTTGGGGAAAAAAAAACCTGCCTTTACCAAAAACATTGCAATCTTCATGTTGCTTTTATTACCCTCTAGGGTTATGCGACTTTGTTAACAAATCTCCAAATGGAAAGTCTATTTTAGCCCTTTTTCCATCATTTTCAGTACTGCAAAACCACATCTATCCATGATCCTGCTTTTTTAAAAACAAAGCTGTTCTTTTTATTTTTCCTGTTTGGGCTTTTTATACTCACCACTCTCACTCAGCCTCTGAAATCCTACTGGATTTTGTTTAGACTCATAATAAACAGGACATTTTTGGACCACCTCAGGAAGCTGCAGTTTTTCTCACAGGAAATGCAATTTTACAGCACACTATCTGCAGTGGTTTAAACTGCTGTGCTGCTGGGCTGGTTGATCGAAAGGTCCCCGGTTCGAATCTGCACAATGGGGTGAGTTCCTATTGCTCCATCCCAGCTCCTGCCGACCTTGCAGTTCGAAAGCATGCAAATGCAAGTAGATAAAAAGGCACCACTTCGGTGGGCAGGTAACAGCGTTCCATGCACTTTGGTGTCTAGTCATGCCGGCCACATGACCACGGAGACTGTCTGGGGACAAACGCTGGCTCCCTCGGCTAGGAAATGGAGATGAGCACCGCCCCCTAGAGTCAGGCATGACTGGACTCGATGTCAAGGGGAAACCTTTACCTTTATCTGCATGTTGATCTTGTTTCTCTTTCTCTCTTTGAGGCCCGAAGGGGCTGGTAAAAGCATTCTGAGCATGCAGATAGGTTAACTAGTTACTTAATCCTCAGTGTCCAGCCCAGTGAAAGGTCTTTCACTTTTTTGGAGCAAGCAGCTGCTTAAAGTCTAGATTGGGAGACTTGCAAACTCCTTGATATGTTCACAGCAGAAATTCAAGTGCATTAGGTTGAATCCAGACTTCCGTGAGTGAACTTCCACTCATGAAATGTGAAGCGCTTTGTTTCCAGCCCCATCCAACTTTCTTCCAGAGTGCTGCCATATCCTGCAGAGCAATGGGAAAGGTGGAGTGGACAGCCCCAATTTCCTCTTGCAGAAGCGCGAGTCCTTTCCATAAACAGGTCTCCTTCTATGAAGAGAAAGGCACTTGTGTTTCCACCCATTGGCCTCCGTGATGGTAAATCAGAGTTTATCACTCAGGTCGGGAACCTGTGACACTCTTCAGCATCCCAGACACTTCCACATCGGAACAGGGAAAACAAATTCCTGTGAAAGAACATCCCTAGCCAGGTCCTTGCCTTCAAAGCAAGTCCTGCCTAGGTGGGAAAGGGTCCCTAAGGAAAACTTTGGAGTGTATTGGGTGTCCAAAATGTTTTGAGAAGGTAAACTTAACAACATTCCTGAGAGGGGAGTCCATTCCTCCTTCTCCCTGTGCCGGGGTGAATAGAAGATCATTTGAGATCTGTGGAGAGCCATAGCTCAGCAAGGGTTTCTGACTTTCAGCTGTCCAACAATGGCAACTACCCCAAAAGGAAAACAAAATAATAGGTGGGGAGAAGATGCCTATGGGAAAACCAGGAGTGGATGGTTGTGTGAAAGGACTTGTGAGTAAGATCTGAGTGCCAGTCACAAATGCCTGGGCTGAACATCATGTTTACGGGCACCGTGTTTCTTCACTTGGGATGTATATGTGCCCGTTTTGCACCTGACCCTGGTTGGTGGACCTTCGGGTTCTGGTTGAAACCAAGGTAGATCCCACAAACTACCTCAGCCTGCCCCTGCCCTAAGCACCTCTGCTGAAAAACTTTCAGCTTGCAGGAGAGGGGGAGTTACTTGGTTCTGTTTACCACCCTTCTGCTCTGAATCATTATCCTGAAAAATGCAAAAAGCTGACTGGGAACTGAATGCTCTGATTTCAGTCAACTAGAAGAGGCAGTGGCTTCAGCCATATGTTATGAAAGCATATGGTATTCTCTGCTCCTGTTGGGAAGGTAGCTATGGCTGATCAGACTGGAGACCCAATTCTGTCAGCTGTTTTTAAAATAAGTTTCTGTCGCCACTTTGATATGTATACAGGTTGTCATCAACATCCAAGTAATTGCAGGAATCTGTGGATCTTTGATGTTCTGGGAAATCTGCTTCCTTGCTTCTTGTGGGGGTTTCACTCACAGTGGAAGCGTAATTTAGCTTTGCATTGCTCTGTCTGTGAAAATCCGTGTTTCCCCCACCCCATCAATAATGTGCCAGGCAGAAAACTATTTTGTCAAGAAGTAAAAGTTACCAGCCACAGAGTACTGCAAGGGGGTGTCGCTGGTGTTGTGAAGACAAACCAAGGAAGCTCTGTCTTGTCAATAGCATTGTTTCGGGAGTCCTTGAAAGTCCTTCCTCAATTTTGCAGAATGGTTTCACACCTCTCCACATTGCCTGCAAAAAGAACAGAATTAAAGTGATGGAACTTTTGCTGAGACATGGAGCATCTATCCAAGCTGTCACTGAGGTAAAGCATCCTTAATGGTATATTCTTCCATGTTTTCAATAAACAAACAGCTTTTAGTCCTGTGAATGGAGGAGCTGAGAACAGAAGGAGGATCCCAGTTGAAACTGAGTGCCATTTTCTAGTGCATCGGTTAATTTTTCTGAAGAAAATACAGAGCTTTCTGTTGTTAAGGAATCCTTCCCATGTTTCTTTGCCTGTTGAGAGCCTCACACACATTTCTGCCACAAGATCCCTGAATATTACAAGGGGAGTCCATGTTAGATCCATATTAAGACCCAGTTTACACTTCATGCTACATACCTGTGTGGTTTAATGCACATATTTCTGGGAATGACGAAAGTTATGTGTGCTACCCTCTGTGTGCTTTTTATTCCCACTTTCAATTAACAAACAAGAATGGGTTGTTTTGCAATATGCGTACCTGGAAATTCTGAGTTGTTGATGGATCAAACAACCCAGAGTTAATCCAGCAACAAACCATAGTTGATTGTTGGGTTAACTCAAGATTATATGACTCCTGAAGACAAGCGAAGAGAAGAGAAGAGAAGAGAAGAGAAGAGAAGAGAAGAGAAGAGAAGAGAAGAGAGTGATTCCTGGGAAGTTTTATCCTGTGCCTAATATGGTTCTCCTTCCCCCATCCTCAGCGCATGCACATGTGTGCACACATGCGCATGTGCGCACACACACACACAGTGTGAGTGTGCATTGTAGTCAAGCCTTGTTCAGGGCAGGTGTGCTTTTACAGCCCCAAACACAGAATACGTAAGACAACTCACAAGGCTGCCTCCATCACCCTCCCTTCCTACATTTCCTTTTTGGCATTTCCCTGCTGCCTGAAAACTGGGACTCTCTTGGCAGTTTACAAAAGCTAAAGGCTTTAAAATACATTATATGAAGCTACATGCATGCACACATAAATCTAAACAGGCATCTAAACATGGTGATACACAGTGCAGGATTGGGACTCAGGCGATCCGGGTTCTAGTCCCCGCTCGGCCATGGAGCCAACTGGGTGCCTTTGGGCCAGTCACAGACTCTCAGCCCAGCCTGCCCACAGGATTGTTGTTGTGGGGATAAGGTTGAGAACAGGAAGAGGAGAATGTTGTAAGCCACTGTGACTTTCCTGTAAGGGAAAAATGGGATATAAATCTAATAAATAAATAAAAATGGATATATATCGAAAACCATTTTCAGTTTTTACCTTAACTCATCCTCTGCCCCTACCAACACCAGAGTAATTTTTCTTCTTTCACTCCACCTCCCCTCTCCTGTTTTCCAGTCTGGTTTGACTCCCATCCATGTCGCTGCCTTCATGGGACATGTAAATATCGTTTCGCAGCTGATGCATCATGGAGCATCGCCCAACACAACCAATGTGGTGAGTGGCAAGCCAGTCTTTCGTTATTAGCAAAGGGGAACCTCTGATGTGCAGCCTGCCAGTTCCTCACACCTGCCTTTTTGCATGCAAGGTGTCCAGACAGCAAGGGAGCCCCCTATGGGGAGGGGGCCCAGTGCTCTCAAGGTACCGTCTGCCCAGATGGATTCTCCAGTGTCAGAGGACGAGGTGGAACAGTCGAGGTGGATCGATGCTCAGGCAGAGCATGAGAACCAGCCTGCCCTGCACAAGGAGGAAGACATCTCAGATCAGGGAAGGGTGGAGATTGAAGGGGGGCTCCTTGGCCCCATAAAGAGATGACAGTGAAGTGAAGTGAGCAGACCAGTTAGGAAGTGTCTGCCATGTCCCCACCATCCAGCCCATCAAGCAGCAGGCCCTGAACATGGAGTCAGGGCCTTCCTGAAAGGGGAAGAAGGAGCTTCCAGCTCTTTACATTAGCAGACGTTCCTCCCGCACCTCAAAGGGGTCATCACTTTGATTTATGCTGTTGGCCACCTGTGGAGCTCAAATAATGGACTGCGCTTCTAAGGTTTCATGTAAGTCTTAAGTGGGGCAAAGACCCACTCACCACATGACCTTTCCTGGAGAGGTTTCCTGCTCCCCACTTGAGAAGTTCCAATCCAGGCAAGGTGTGGACAATCAGGAGCAACTTTCATAGGTGTATATGCCATGGCAATATTTTATGAAAGTCCCGTACGTCAACCCCATTGCTATTACTCCTGTTTGTTCAGTGGAAAGAATTTCCTAAGTATTGTATTGACCAGAGGGCAGAACGAGCCGTCCCATAGCTCACAAGGTAGCAAGCTACCTCCCCTGAACCTCCATGATGTCACACCCTGAGTCACATCAGCTGTCTCACCAGCATGGATGGGCCCTGCCGCGTGGGCAGACACACCCGCACTGTTGCTCACGTGCAGCGGAAGTAAGTTGGACAGCCTGAAATGGCTGCAGAACATTCGCATCAAACACGTCATTGCAAATGTACGTACGTACTCTACAGGTATGTCAAGAAGCTGTGCTTGGCTGTGATTCCCAGCTGAGTATCCATTTGGGGACAAGGTAAGATTAGGCTCCATAATGTTTGAAGCTGTCCTTAAAAGAGGTGAGATTGCTGACCAGAATTAATTAATTAACCTCTGGTTTAGTGCCAGTACTCTGATGAATATGAAGTGAAAGCCTTACATTTCCTCCCCTTGTGTTAGGAGGAGAGCTCAAGGGCTCCAGAGAGAGAATGTCTCTCTCTCGGTTCCTACTCAAACTTGTTTTATGTTCTTCTGCACTGGAAAGAGGAAGAGCTCATATATTATTGCTCAGTGCCCTGAATTCTTGAGAAGTCGACTCTCTGAGTGCCACAGAATCCCTGAGGACTGGCGGCGTCTTCCATTCCGAGGCAGGCCCTGCTGATGTTGCTAACAGATTCCAGTTGATTGTCAGGGCATATTGCCTGTATCCACCATAGCCATGCTAGAGTGCCTGTACATTTCCAAAGGCTTTGCAGAAGAGTGGTTTTAAAATAGAGATGTTTCAGAGGCATTCGTGACAAGCTGGAAAAACCGGGCTTCAGAAAGCACACGCATGGTAGCAAATTTTACTATCGTTCGGCACTGCCTTACTCTTTGCAAAGTTAGATGCATACAAAGCACAAGGCAATAATATTATCTTGACTGTTTGCACTATAAAATCCGTTTAAATTATAGACTTGCGCAGCACCATCTGTGCTATAAACAATGTCTGTTTTAAAGATTCGCTGGGTTTCAAAAGATCTAGAAATCAGCTTCCCTCCTTCACATCGAAGCATTTGCTGTTCTCACAGTTTCCTTGGTGACACATCTTTGGGTGAAAAGTGTATGAAGCTCTGCAAATTTTGTACAGCAGTCCTTTTTTATTATTGATTATTTTGATCCGTTCAACGGAGTCAACAGAAACCAGGGCCATCAAAGTATGATCGCAGCAAACCCAACTGAACTAAAACAAGCAGGCCCAGATATACGCAAGTTTGGAGAGATGACAAATGGACAACCAGCTGGGAACGGTGCTTCACTAGACTGTTGTGTTTGCACCATGAGTACCATGCCGTGTTTTTGAAAGGATCCCCTCCCCCCACCCCACCCCACCCCACCCCCACAACATTGACAAGGAGCCAAACACTCCTATACCCTGATCGTTCGGAAATCAATGCTGGAATAAATGGGACAGAGCTAGAGGTCATATATTGATCTGGTACAGTTTTGTGCTCTCAAACAACTCCTTAAAAATATTCATGTGGCAGCGGTTTCTGACTGGAAGCTTTCTGTGTGTCGCTAAAATATTTGCTGCTGTTTCTTTCCCTTTTGGGGTCCCTGAGTCTTTTAAAGCACCTTAACCTTTTGACGATCTTTCCCATTCCAGAGAGGGGAGACCGCGCTCCACATGGCTGCCCGAGCTGGTCAATCAGAAGTTGTTCGATACTTAGTCCAGAATGGAGCTCAGGTAGAAGCGAAAGCCAAGGTAAGTTAGTCGATCATTTGGCTGCTTGGCTTGCATTCTTCCACCTGCTGGTGAGGTGTGGGAGACAAGAATAGGATGCACTGATTCAGAAAGGATGAGCTCAGGGGCCCAGCACGTGATAGACGGTCCCCTGATAGCAGAGAGACTTTAGTGGACCCTGTGGTTTTGTTCCGGTTGGGTTGTCAGCCTGGTGAGCCTGAAGGGGTCTGAGTGGGAGCGGAAGTGAACACGGCAGTGGGCACTTTCATACCTCGTGAAGACCCACCGTGGGCTGGTTTTGTGGGACAGAGGACTGGGCTCACCATGGATTGTCCCACCTCCCCCTCTACCCACCCCCGCTTCCTACACCATCCTGCTCTCAAATTTCCCGGAGGCTCACTTAGTTTGCCATTTTATGCACTCTTTTACCCCTTTTCTTTTCTTCCCCCTGCTTCTCCCCTTGTGAGAGAGGGGTGTTGTGAGTGTGTGCGGCTTGTTTCTTTGGAACAGGCTTCTCTGAGGATCCTCGCAATTTCCACCTTTTCATTAGATAATGCTCAGAAAGATGAAAAAGTGTGAGCCACTCCCTCTCCTTTTAAATGGGGTGGGGGTGGACAGGAAACCCATTTTCCCCCAAAGGATCGTATGTACTCAACCTTGCATATATGTTTTTGAAAGAAACAGGGAAGTCCTATCAAAATAACCTCTTTTAAAATGGACCAACATTTTGACAAGTAGCTATCAAAATGTTGTACCCCATAAAAGTGCGGGGGGGGGGTCACACTTTTCCTGGGAACTAGCACTGCTTTGGTAACCATAGTAGTCCAAGTGAGATACTGAGGATGAAACTCGAATACTTTGGCCACCTAATGAGAAGGAGCAACTCACTGGAGAAGCCCCTGATGCCGGGAATGATTGAGGGCAGAAGGGGACGGCAGAGGATGAGGTGGCTGGACGGAGTCACTGGGGCAGTGGGTGTGGGCTTGGGTGGACTCCAAGGGATGGTGGAGGACAGGAGAGCCTGGAGGGATGTTGACCAAGGGGTCGTGATGGGTCGGGCACGACTTTGCGACTAGCAGCACCAACGACAGCAGTTCTGTGGGCTCCCAGTGTTGGCTGGGGGGGACTTCTTCAGAGCCCCAGCTCCGAGATTGCAGGAGGCTGGAGCTGCAACTCCAAAGAGCAAGCACCCTCTCCCTGCAGTCAAGGTAGCAAGATGCATTCTGGCTGCCCACCACAGGTCTCGGAGGGGACAGAAAGGAGAGTACCAGGGCTCAGTGAGAAGATTGCTGCTGAGGAATTGCGCCAGTTTCAGCTCTGGCATAAGTTTTCCCAGCCTGCTCTGTCCCCTGTCCAAGCACTTCATCTAAAGGGCTGAGCATGGCTGCCTAGATAAAAATCTGGGCGCGAGATGTGACAGTGGCAGAGACTGGCACTGCTCCACCTCATTTGGACCATGGGATGCACACGGCTTCAGGTTTGAAAGGTTATATGTGCTGAGGAGTAATTGGATTGCTCCCTTAGTGTTCTGACACTAAGTTACTTAGCTGGGCACAACTGTGCAACTAAACAACAGCATAGTCCAAGTGACATGCCGAATAGACAGATGAGTTCTGTTTCCACTGAGTCACCTTTGAATGTTTCCTTCGTATTCACTGGCAGGAGTTTACAAGGGAGAGGGGCCGCTGAGAGTGATTGCAGGCTGAAAGGCTGCTTCCTGTTGTGGGGGCAACTCCTCGGAAAGTGTTCTCTGATGGGCCTCTTTCTCCTGTGTTAAATGGACCGGGCAGCTTTTGCGGCAAGGATTAGCAGTCGCACTCCTGGAGGCGTGGAGCTGCCGTTCTGATTTCCCACAATTCCTCAAAGCAGTCCTGCCATGGAGGCATTGTGTGAAATTTAATTGCACCAAAGGGGGCACAGATCAGGCATCTGGGTGGTGTGGAGACCTGTGGGGGCCACAGATGCTGCCTTCTGGCAGCGCACCTGTGAATCCGTCTTCCCGTCCTGTTCTTCATGATGGCCTTGCGAATATTCACCATGAACCTCAAGCAGAGCAACAGGAAACCCATTTTTCCCCTCAAAGGAACATATATATTCATCCTTGCCTAGATGTTTTTAAATGAAGCAGGGAAGTCCTATCAAAGTTATCTCTTTTTAAAGGAACCAACACTCTGACAAGGAGCTAAAATGTTGTACTCCCATAAAAGTGTGACAGACCTGGGCAGTGTAGCGGTAGACCCCCTCTACCTTGAACCCAGTGTCCAAGGTTTGGGTCACCTACTTATATTGGGCTGCCTTGGGAGTCACAGCCTGGGAGGATGAAAATTAAGTATAACGTGCATGTTAATAAAACATGTCTAGTTCTGGGAACGTAACGTGCCAGTTTCACACTGTATCGTGGCCAAGAATCAGAATACAGGAGGGGGCTTTGCAGTATTAAACATTTCCCTCTGAAATCTAGCTGGAGGTTTCCCAAGAAGCAAAAATGGCAAACCTGAAGCTAGCATACTTCAGACCAGCCAGGACTCCCTGGAGAAGACAATCATGATTAGGCAAAATTGAAGGCAGAAGAAGAAGAGCAAGATGGATGGCAGCATGTGATGGATCAGCTCCATAAAAAGGAGCCACAGCCTTGAATTTAAAAAGACTGAGCAGAGGTGCTCAGGACAGGTGGACAAGACATTGTGGGTGGCTTCATTCATAGGCTTCCCCTAAGCCAGTGCTGGCTGGATGGCACCCAACCGCAACAATCTGAATCCCCTGGCAAAAAGTAGTAGCCCAGAGAAGCTCATTAAGTGCAGCAGTGCCCTCCTGCAGTATAGCGGCCTTCCCTGCACACTCCCTGCCTGGTCAGAATAATACTCCCTTTGCTAGAAATATCTGTCCACAAGCATCCTCAGTATCTGGCCCCTTTCTCTTGCACGTTTAGGACGAACAAACACCGCTGCACATCTCAGCTCGACTGGGCAAAGCTGACATCGTGCAGCAGCTGCTACAGCAGGGAGCTTCTCCAAACGCAGCCACGACTTCGGGGTATACGCCATTGCACCTTTCGGCACGAGAAGGACACGAAGATGTCGCCTCGGTGCTTTTGGAGCACGGGGCGTCCTTAGGTATAACTACCAAGGTAAGAGAACAGAAGGTGAGGCGAGCCATGAGAAGGCTTTTAAAGATAAACGTGGCAGGGCCATTCCTCACCCAGGAATACAAAAGTTTCTCTCAGTGATTAGACTTACTTCCAAGTGAAGTCTCAAACTGTAGCATAAAAGCCAAAGAAGTCTTGAACAATGAGAACTAACAGGTGATGCAGAATGAGGAGATAAATGGAGGTGGTGGAACTCTTGACCAAAAACTGCAGGCGCATGGGAGGTGTGTCTTGTTTTTAAATCCTTCCTCATTAAAAAAAAAAAATTACCTGCATATAGCAAACTAGAACATCAGCAAAGGGGCATGGGTAAATTTCTTTCGGATACATTAATTTACAACACCCAGGGTACATTTTGTCTGGGGGTGCACTGAGAAATTGGTCCCCTTTGCAATATGAAATGGTGAAGAATTCTGTCATCCCATTCTGTGTGTTGCATAGAGTGACCTGGTTCACATGCTCAAAATAAGCCACCATGGCTTATTTAAATCATGTCACATGCTGGGCCCCACTACCTTAATCGCTGCCTGAGTGCAGTGTGTCATGCCATCTAAACCTGGGTGGCACAACCTGTTGGCGGGAGAAAGAACCAGTGTGGCATAGTGGTTAAGAGCATGGGACTGGGACTCGGAGGATCTGGGTTCGAGTCCCCGCTCAGCCATGGAGCCAACTGGGTGCCTTTGGGCCAGTCACAGACTCTCAGCCCAACCTACCTCACAGGGTTGTTGCTGTGGGGATAAGATGGAGGAGGAGAATGATGTAAGCTGCCTTGAGCCCTTTGTAGGAAAAAGGCAGGATATAAATCGCAATATAAATAAATAAATATACCCTCCAGTAACCCATGAGCTGTTGTAGGGTTATTGGAGGGTTATTCAAGCCACACTCCCTCCATTAGAGCAACAGGACAAGCTGCATCTGGGTGATGATTGTGGCAATCATGCCCCCCATGTGTCCATTAAGCATCACAATTGAAGTCAGCCACCATGATTTAAATAAACTACACGGGACTGCACGATAAACCATGCCCTAGCGTGCACTGTGATTGAAATAAGCCATGGTGGCTTATTTGATCATATGAACCAGTCTGGTAAGTATGAATCCTGGGTGAATAACACCCCCGACAGCAGACCAAAAAAAGAAACCCAGTTGCTGGTAAGAGTTCTCAGGGGCCTTCAGCAGGTATGCCTTCTTCTGGATTCCAAGGGCAGGACTGCCAAATTCAAACCTAGCCCACCCTTGGTACAGTGCTGTGAAAGTGCAAACAGAGAGCAAAGACTGGAGAAGCAACCAGGATGGATTGTGTGTATGTGTGTTAATGAATAGGTTCTAGGGCCTTAAAGAAGAGCAGATACCTCCCATATTAAGGTTTAACTGCCTGGCTGCAGAAGATAACCTGGAGGTAGAGACAGAGACAAGGAATGAGAGCTGATGGGGACTTTTGTCCACCCTGGAGGAGGGACCATAGCTCTGGTGGAATATACACTTCAAATGGAAAAATTCCCAAACGTGATCCCTGGCTGGAAAGGAAAACCTCTCAATAGCCAATCAGTATAAACAATCCTGAACTAGTTAGGCCAATGGTCTGATTTGCTGTAAGGTTGCTTCCCACCTTCAGGAGTAGTTTTTTTCTCCCTACAGTGCCCATCAGCCTTGGCCAGCATGGCCAATGGTGAGACATGCTGGGAATTATTGGCCAAAGCATCTAGCGCAGAGCAAGTTGCCACGCCCATTCTGTGTCCTGTGCCCAGAGCTTTGAAGAGGGGTTAAAAACAGATGGGCATCAGTGGATGACTTGCTTTTCTTTCCCATCCCTTAAACCATAGGGAAGCTTATGCCAGCCCATTACAGGGATGTTTCCTTCCTCCAGGAGAAAACCCCAATTGCAAAGCTATTTCCAAGGAATGGCGGAACCCACGTTACGTTTTGTCATTTGACAGCAGAATCAAATATGGTCCAAGTTGTTCACTTCAGCTAAGACTAAAACTAGCTGATCTTGTGTCTCCGAAATACATTGCTAGTATATTCCATTTTCTATTTCTGATGCTTGTTTCCTGCTCTTCTTCCCAGAAGCTCAAAGCAGCTTACATATGATACAGTTCTTCGGATGAACACAATCCATCTCACATGCAACTCCACTTCTCATGCATTCATTTTCATGACTTTGAGAATTTAATGTTTCATGTCATGGGGTAGGCAGTATTTTTGTGTCATGTTTTGTTCTGTCCATACGCAGAATCATGCCAGGCAAGCAGCCCTGCTGATGGCTTTGTGACACAAGTCAGCCACTTGCCTAAGCCCGCATTGCTGTTGCCAGAGCTCTGACAAAATGCCCTGGAGTTACTGTTGATGCAAATGCCTCTCTTACAGAAAGGATTTACTCCTCTGCATGTGGCAGCCAAGTATGGCAAAATTGAAGTAGCCAACCTCCTGCTTCAGAAGAACGCATCGCCTGATGCTGCTGGAAAGGTAAGAGGCAAGAGCCTTCCTGGATCTTACAGTTGTTAGCCAATAGCAGTCAATGGCGTATCTTCTGCTTATTTCTGGGCAAGAGTAATCAGTCCTGGGTTTCTAGTAAACAAGTTGTTTCTTGAAGAGAGTGGTTTCTTGAAGGTGTTTGCACTGCTTTATCCTTCCCAACCAACAAAAAATACTGGGGGCTGAGTCATCTTTCCCCACTTTGTTCCAGAAGCTGTGGAATCATAGAGTAGAACCACAGAATGCTAGACCTGGAAGGGACCAGAGGGCCATCGGGTCCACCCCTTGCTCACTGCAGGACACCAAGTTAAGCCATCCCTCTCAGATGGATGTCCAGGTGGATCTAGACTGGATCTAGATCTCTCCATTGTGAGAGAGCCCACGACCTCTCATTGGGTCCATTGGTTCACTGCTCTAGCAGTCAAGGCATCCTTCCTTATGTTCAGCCAGATCCAGCCTATCCCTGTGATGATGTGATTGCTCTCAAAAGAAAGGGGTTTGCCAGGGCATGACAACTATGTGCACATTAAATCAGAATTAGCTAGGTGAGATTTAACTTAATTATCTATGGCTCGATACACACTTTCCGGGAATGTTAAACTTCCAGACAGCTCCATTTGGGCAAGAGGGCTGTTAACTGCATGATGGAGTGCTTACCTGCCTTAAAGACTTCCTGCACAGAAATGACAAGGTTACAGAGAAGGCCAGTCCAGAACCATTCTGCTTGACATGTTCATTTCCAATGTGCAGGGAGATTTTGATGTGGGGGAACATTCAAGCATCTCCCCACCCCCACGGCATTCTAAAGTGGTTTAAGCCCAGGAAGGACTGTGACTTGATAGAACAGATGATGTCACTTTCAAATAACATGTGAATCAATACCAAAGAAATATTTATCATACTTGGTCTGTTTGGCTGGGCAGAGAGACTGGTGATGGTTCTTACTTCTTAAATTGGATGAGGTCTGCCTCTTAAACCTTAGTGAGGGAGGTCGTTCACCTGAGACTCAGAGAGTTTTGTGCTGTGTTGTGTTGTGATCACTCATCATTCTTGCTGTTCCTGTTTTACCTGTTCTGTTCTTATTGCCACTGTCATCATTTCAAACCCTTGGTTGATATCACAGAACCCTCACCGAAAGTAGTTTAACCTTCTCCAAACATGTATGTAAGCTGGTTTTCTAACAAAGCCTGTTTGTTCTGCATGTGTTTTTAGAGTGGTTTAACTCCACTGCATGTTGCGGCACATTACGATAATCAGAAAGTGGCACTTCTGCTCTTGGACCAGGGAGCTTCACCTCACGCCTCTGCAAAGGTACCAGTGCTTGCTGGGTAGGCCAGGGGCAGCTGCCCCACTGTATCCGTTCCTCCTTCCTTCCTTCCTTCCTTCCTTCCTTCCTTCCTTCCTTCCTTCCTTCTTGGCACTGGCTCCTACTTTCTCTGTTGCGGAGCATGTTCCACACTTAGCACACATGGCTAGGGAAACAAAAGGATGGGGGAGAGACTTTGGCCCCAGAAGTTTTCTCTGAAGCCTTCTGATAAGGAGAGGAAAGCTGGGGTCTTCCTTGTGTATGTAGGCCACTTGTGTTTGACCTTATAATCTTCCATTCAGCCCAACAAAGTCAGCTCACAATGCAAGTACAATGCCTATCAAGCTCTAATTAGAGAAGTAGAGATGAGAGTAAGCGAGAGAGATATAGAGATGAAGACCACAGTGCATGGTATGAAAAAAGACTAACTTTGGCCAAGAAGAGTCACTGAGGTCCTGGAACTTAGGAGAAAACTGGCAGAAGAGAACTTAAGAGATGTTGTTGTAAACAAAAACTCCATTCTCTTTGTCACAAGACCTGATACAGTCAGACTGTCACTGCCTCCTAGAAGTCTAGATAGTCTCTATGAAGTTGATGATGAGGGGAGGAGAATCTGGGGAAGATTTTTTCTGATACTGGACCTGAGGCAATTCCTTAAGGTTTTATCTCACAGCATCAGGAGGATCCTTCATGCTAATAGATAATTGATTAATTCCTTCCTTCCTGCAAGGAAGGAAGCAGAGATGAAATATCAAGGGAATGGGACAAGCCAAGGTCTGAGGACAAAACATCACCTGAACAGGCTATTTTTCTATCTGTTATCTATCCTTAATCCCTCTGTTAAGCAGGAACAAAACAGGTAAGATCCTTGCATGAATGTCCATCTCTTTCACCATCATCTAAGTGGACTCATAAGATGTTTGTGGGTTGCCTAGAGACTGAAAGATCACAGCAGAAACTGCCCTCAACACATAGCATATCAGAGCAAACCTGGAAAAAATGCAGTTAAGGATTTCCAAGCATGGTGTAACATGGGTGATCAAAGGATAAAAAAAGACCAAATCCCCAAAAAATGGTAATTAAAGGGAGGGTCTACATGAATGCTCCCTACCCCGAGTATTTACCTTTTTATATATTTGTACAGCACATTCTTCTGTCTGTTTACTCAAAAGTGTTTGATGATGCTTTCCCCTAGACAACTGGGCATAAGATTTCAGTCTTAATCTGATGAGTTAAAAAAATCTTTATCAAAAAGAGAAAAAAACATTAAAACCCCATTTAAAAGGTGATATAAGTGAAAATTCTTGCAGCAGTTTAACACCAAACTCTGTTAGGTAACCAGACAGAAAGATATCTGGACAGAAAATTCCTTTTCAGACAAAAGGCTTACCATATTTTTCGCTCTATAAGACGCACTTCCCCCCCAGGGGAAAGGTCTGTGCGTCTTATAGAGGGAATGTGTGTTTGCCCGACGCCCGGGATGCTGCTGGCCGCCTGCACCCCGTGGCACCACCTGGCCGGCACACGCTCGGCACGCCCTGCTCTGCCCCCCCGCCCCCCCGGTGCAGGTGAGAGCTGTTAATCACAGGTCGGTGTTTTCAAATGGCAACCCGTCTTTTAATGAAGCCCATGGGGAAGTGATGGGGAATGTGCCTGTGATTATCAGGAAGCTTTCCATGGATCCCTCCTCTAAAAACTAGGTGCGTCTTATGGTCAGGTGCGTCTTACAGAGTGAAAAATACAGTAAGTCTTTGTCTTTCCTGAATTTGAGTAGAAAGGGCAGAGCCAGCTGCAAAATTGGTGCCTCCCCAACATTTGTGGTCTCCCCTTCATTGGGTGAGGAGTGATGGAGGGAGACATCATTTAACCTTTGTCACCGATGAGATAGTGCTTTTAATAGAATATCAATACCATAAGCAAAGCTTCCAGTTTTATAAGCTCATAGGCTCCAGCACCCAGATTTCATTCCAGGTGATCATGGTGAGCCAATGTTAGATGCAAATTGCTGGGGTGATACAGTGGCCAGTATGTTGGGTTGGGATGTGAGAAACACATATCCAAATCCATATCCGAGTTTGAGACTGTGGGTAGCCCTGGACAAGTTCCTGGGGGCCCATCTCCCCAAAAGACAGTGGTGGGTTATTGTTGCTCAGAATCAATACCAGCCGCCCACAGTGCCCATCATATTCCCACCCAGAAGGCAAATCTGCTTTTCAGATATGGAGCAATTCAAACAATCACCAAACTGCATTTCTTTGTTCATCAGCCTCAAAACCAAATAGGCCTGAAATATATGTTCACATACCACAATACCAACGAGGATTTATATTCTTCATTTCTGACAACAGATGGTCTTATTTCAAAGATGTATTTTAAGGCTTTGTCAAGGGGATGAAAAGATGCACAACCCTTTTCGATTTCCTTCCAGTGACTGATTAAATGTGGAGTTGTCAGATCCTTTTGCATGAGCAGAGATGAAAGAGATCATGGAGGGAAATCATGGTATAAGCTGTGGGTCACGTATTATGTATGAGAAAGGAAAGGCAAGTCAAACTCATGCAGAAAGCTTGAAGCATTATCAGCAGGGCCGTGTTGTATGGGAAATATGTCTTCACTTTGCCTTGGGAGAGACACTAGGCTAATGTCCAAATCTTTAGCATGGCAGTGCAATGATATGAAATAATACTGCGACTTAAGTACTCACTTTATGGAGGGACAGGGCACTGACCTAGTTTAATGTTGAAAGAAACTAAGCTGGTGCAAAACTAAGGAGCGGAGGTGGCTCTTGCTCCCACAGCCAGCGGCTCCCTGAAACCAAAAATGATAAAATTAGAGGCTTGAAGAAGAACCAGAAATTATAGATCAGGTCTCTTGATTCCCTCATCTCTGACCAAGTTGGTTAGCAGCTGCCACTTTGGCATTTTGGTGCCTGCCAAGGGGCTTCCTAAAGCAAGATGATTTGGTAAGCAAGCTGCAGAAGAGAACCAAATGGAGCATCAAAACTGGAATTGCTAACAGCTTCTCCAACCGCCTTTGGCTGTATGTTGTGCAGTCACTAAGAGATTCTGTTTTGATAAGCAGATTATTTCCTGCTCCTATGAGACATTTGGTCTGATAAGAAAATGTTCATTGCTCATACTGAAATGGTTTCCTTTGAATGTATTCTTCTCTGCGCTCGCTCTGTCTCTCCCTCCTTCCCTCCCTCCTTCCCTCCCTCCTTTCTCTAACATTTTCTTTTCCCTTGATCCACTGGAACGATACTGCAGAAATGCTGCTGAAGAAACCATAAACCGAATAGTCTCACACCAAGCTCAGGAGCCATAAAGCAAGCAAAAAGCTTATGTCATCTCAAGCTTGTGCCTGCAAATGTTTTGGTCCTTTGGATGCCACAGTATTCTTTATTGTTGCAGTTTCTGGACAGGCGTGGGCAACCTTGGGCCCAGGGGCCAATCTGGCTCGCTGGTGGTTGCAACTGGCTATCCAGAGTTCCCACCCCTTCTCTCCATCTTGCCTTCACAACCAGTTCCAAAATGGCACTCAAAAGTGGTTCTGATGTTCAAACCTTGATATCTTCTTTGCCGCATATAGTAAAGATTTATTGTGATATGCAAATTTGCTCACTGCTCTGTGAATCTACAAGGAGTAGGGCATAACTATCTTAAACCATGGAAAATATCCAGCAGCGAAGCCTTTTAAGAGAATTTTGGCAGCCAGTATTCATAGGTCCTTTCTTTCCCTGCTTCCCAAACGGTCCATTCTCTTAAGACTCCATCCATGAGGTTAAGCCTCCCCAGGGTTTGGGACCTGCAAGGATAGGACAAGGGAAACATTTGTTAGTCCCTGATGAATTGTGGCTCCCCAGGACACAATCCACACAGCATGTGGATGTGTGTGTTTGCTCAGCTATTGTAGAGAAGGGGGAAGTGGGAGTTTCCAAAGCATTTCTGAGAGGTGGTCCTGAAGGATCTCACCCACCTTCAAGTGCTCTGCTTCGCACTCTCTAGCATGGCCAGAGTTTCCTGACTTTCAGCTTGCATCCAGGCCCATCTCTTGAGGTCAAGGTGATCTTGCTGCTGGTATCTTTGCTACCTCCATCTTTGCACAGTCAGATTTACTTCACACGGTGAGGAGGAGGAGAGAACCTGACATGTTTATCTCAGCAGATTCTTCCTTTACTTTCTTGAGCTGACTGGAATGATAAAGAAAAACTACAACGTATTTTCAAAAGCCAGCAAATGTATTTTATCTGGTTCACCAAGTAATATATTCCCATATCTCAGAAAGAAGTCTTTAGATGTTTATGAATGTCTCTTTTGCATGAGGGTTTAAGAACAATAAAGAAGGGCCTTTTCTGGCAGAAACTGCAGATTCAGAGGTGGGAAGGATCGCTTTTCCAGGCGTTGCAGAATAAGCGGATAACCCGATGTTGTTGTGTCGACAGAATGGTTACACCCCACTGCACATAGCGGCCAAGAAGAACCAGATGGACATAGCGACCACGTTGCTGGAATATGGTGCTGATGCAAATGCTGTGACCAGGCAGGGCATTGCTCCCGTCCACCTCGCGTCCCAGGAGGGCCACGTAGACATGGTGTCACTGCTTCTCACCAGAAACGCCAATGTGAATCTTAGCAACAAGGTAATTTTGCTCGCTGACGTTCCTGCAAGGACCTCTGCTGAGCTTCCTCAGGACTGCGCGTGTTCCTGGTGTGCAGTCGAGCGAACAGAATCAGGGCTGCCCTGCTGTGGAGCACACCTTGCTTTTGTCCATTGGGCGTAATGCCGGTCTAATTCCTAGCAAGCGTTTTCTCACAAAGGTGTTCCGGTAGCCTGTATTTGGGGTAGTTTGTGATTCATTACCCACTTGGAAGCCATCTGCAAGCACATTCGAGCTAGAAGGATGGGCAGAAGCTAGGCTCCCAGGGAAGCTATTGCATTTCACAATCTTATGGGGGCAAATGGGTCTGGTAGTATATATAGACTGTACACAGAAGAGAATGCTCCAGCCAAAAGCTCTGTATGTTGGAGATGGTTGCCTTCATGATACAGCAAGCCATAGACTACCAGAAGTCCAGCTGTAGGTAGGCATCTCCCTTCCCCTGCCCCTTGTTCCAGGTTCCCACATGTCCTATGCAATTTCACAGCCCAAGTGCAATGAAAAAGTTAGAGGTACCCTGTTTAATGAGCCCTGGTAGGTTTCTGGCTGGCTGCTGTTGAAGCTGAGGCAGATGGACCCTTGGCTGAACCCAGCAAAGCAATGCACTTTTTCAAGAGAGTGACAATGATGGAAACTCTACTTGGAGAGGAGATCAGTACAGGAAGAGATTCCTTCTAGGTTAGTCCTGCATCATCCTTCTTGAGTGTTGCTTCATGCATGCTCCACTAGGCAGCATTGTTGGTCAGATTGTACCAACCACCAGAGGTGGTTGAAGCCCCACTGCTGAGGGAGTTTAAGGATCGGCTAGACATGCACATGGTAGGCATGTCATGAGTGGAACCAGCTGGAGCCAGGGGTCAGACTAGATGTCCCAGGAAGTCCCTTCTGACTCACTCTGTTCCTATGTGGGCAGGTTCATTTTGCAAAAGCAGCTAAATAACTCATCTTGCTACAGACGTGTGTGTTTGATTGTTTGTTTATAGCAGGGACATTAGACTTGAACTAGCCATTTAGCTAAAAGGGAAGAGGAATGTTTGGATGTTGTGGTGCTGTTCTGAAACATTGGATGGTGTGTGTGTGTGTGTGTGTGTGTTTGCCTGCAAACACGTATATCTTTGGGTGAGGTGTGGAAATCTAACTGCTGCAGGTTTCCAGTCAAAATGTCAACACTTTGGGGCCGGGGCCAGCTGTTGTCCAAGCAAAATGCAGGTGTTCTACACATCTGGATTTCGAGCTGTCTTGGACTGGTGGCAAGTCCAGGTCAATGAACCATGTAAAGAGACGGTCAGCTGGACGTTGGTTTATGGGAGCTATTTGGGTCCGTGAGGAAGGAAGTTGCTCAAGAGCATGCTCATAAATCTGTCACAGTGTGCCGATACCTGTGCCAGCTACGTTATCAACAAAAAAGACAAAAGGTGGGGCAGGGTAGGGAAAGGGAAAAAGACGTGCATGTCCGATAATATCACTAGATACGCAGAATTTTTGCATAGTGTTGAGAAGAACATATGTGAACAATTTGAAACAGTTGAAAAGCTAAGTGGCAGTATTACTCTGGGTTGTGTGTTGCAAGAGAACCTGTGGAGTATGAACATGACTTGTGATGCTCTCGAACAGCCTCCTTCTTACCGAGTTAAACGACCAGGAAAAAATGAACAAACTTTGAGGTGTCCACGCTGGACAGAGTACAATTTATCCCATCGTTACACCACAGTGATCTTGCTTTTAAGAAATAAGGCAGTGGGACGGCTACAGTGCCTTCTGCTCATTTATTAGCGTAACATGTAACTGGACATTCAGAGAAAGCGCTGGCAAACCACAGGGATGTTTTATGCTGGCCCCTTGTGAAGTTTCAGGTAAGAGCCAACTCTTGCCGAGAATCAAAAGGCATCTATTATTTTTCCTCATTCATAAAATGGACTCTCCAAGCAGTTTGTACTTGTACTGTTAACTTGGAGTGCTGTCTCTCTTCTGCCCAAAACTCACATGTTGACCCTGGTTTGCAGAGTGGCCTGACTCCGCTTCATCTCGCTGCGCAAGAGGACCGCGTCAATGTTGCAGAGGTCCTCGTGAACCAGGGTGCGGTTGTGGATGTTCAGACCAAGGTAAGTTTGGGGCTGCGCTGCCTTTCTTAAATATAGCCGGAGAAGCAGCAGCAGCTTCATGGCAGCAAAAATCACATCCTCCCATGACAAGTTGGAAATTGCTTCTTTCTTTATGGCTTCTGCAAGGCATCTTTTGTACAAAGGAGGAACGCCTGTGTGCAGTCAGATTATGGATAGAGCTGCAGAGAATGAGCATGTTGCTTCCCACCATTTATATATTTATTTATTTATTTAGAAAATTTCTATGCCGCCCCATTCGCCGAAGCCTTGGGGTGGCACACAAAACATTAAAATATAATACATTCAAAATATAAACAAATTAACAATATAAAATAAGTTGCCCTGGCCAGATAAAATAAGCAAATAATATTAACAATTAAAGTGACGTTTAAATAAAAAGGTCTTCGCCTGGCGCCAAAAAGCAAATAACGACGGCGCCAGGCAGACCTCTCTGGGGAGCCCATTCCATAGATTGGGCGCCACCACAGAGAAAGCCCTCCTCCGAGTACCTACCCTCCTAATTTCCTTCACTGAGGGCTCCCAGAGGAGGGCCTCTCCCGCTGATCTCAGGGGGCGGCTGGGCATATATGGACGTAAGCGCTCCTTCAGGTAACCAGGACCCAAGCCGTTAAGGGCTTTATAGGTCATCACCAACACCTTGAATTGGGCCCGGACTTCAATGAGAAGCCAGTGAAGCTGACGGAGGACTGGAGTCATGTGAACATAACGTCCAGTTCCCGTCAGCAGCCTGGCAGCTCTATTTTGAACCAATTGAAGTATCCGGACCATCTTCAAGGGCAGCCTCACGTAGAGCGCGTTACAGAAGTCAAGGCAGGAAGGAAGTCACCAACGCGTGTGTCACTGTTGCCATGTGCAGTGCTTCCCATTGGAGCTAGTTCACTCTCCAGCTGCAAACCATATAGGGCTAAGCACAAATGGCCATCCCATTGACAGATAGTTTGTGTGTGGGGGGGGGGTGGAGATTTGTGTGTGGGGGGGTCTTAATTTCCCACAGTTTGTTGAGTTGGCTTACCATTTTCAGTGGGTGCTAAGCAAGCAATTTCCTTTTTCTTTCAAATAGTTTAATGTGTTGGCACCATTCTGCACTCCCTCGATCCCAAGAACATAAGTTAAGGCGGAAAGGATGCCACTGCCAATGCTAGAGAGAGGACCATAGCTACCAGCTCTGTGTGCCAGCCTCGCACACATTTGGACTGCAGCACCCAGAATTCCCAGTCAATAGCTCTGCTGGGTGGGAATTCTGGGAGTTGTGGTCCACATGCCTCTGCAGGTTGCCAGGTCGGGGGAGGCTGCTGTGTGCAAAAGGGCCCAGATTCAGTTCTCAGCATCTACAGACAAGCTTAGAAAATAGTCTTGCCTGAAACCCATGAAGGAATGCATTTGCCTGTCCATGACGATAATACCAGACTAGGAGGAGGAATGGTCTGACTCAGCATTAGGTGCTTCCTCTGTTCTTATAAGCCCTCCATCCACCCCAATCAACGGAGTTTTGCCTCCCTGCGCCAAACTGAAATTGGATGCAGCTCTAGCGTTGTCTTTGTGAAGGCTGTTGACGTGTTGGAACAGGCGGAGGACTTCTTGAATGGGGATCCCAATTTCCTAGGAGAGAACTGGGTAGTAAGATGCTGACCGGGTTGCAGATCTCAAGACACGCTCCAGAAATCAAGCTGGTGTCATGAATATTGCCTTGGACAAATTCCCTGCCTTGGACCATGTTAATTTTAGGCCATCCTGCAGGGGGCCTTCTTTCCCTGCACAAGCAAAAGTGCAAAAGACTAGCTGTCCCTCTTCATTGTTGTTCCAGTGCTCTGAAAATGAAGCACCGCAGGCTCAGCTCTTACCTGGCGCTGCAGAGGCCGCCAAATGAGCCATCTGGGGATGGCAGTGTGGGTGGTCTCCCAGCCCAGCTGCGTCGTAAGGGACCGGAGGTCTGTCACCAACTTTTCAGTAGACAGCAGCGCCCAACCTGGCTGGCCGGACGTTATAATGAAAGAGTTGTCGGACTTCTGACTGTGGCAGTGGGGGAAAGCATGCCACAGTAATAATTACCTGCCCTCGCCCGCCTATCCAAGGTTAGGAAGCAGATTACGGACTCATAAAACGCAATGACACAGCTATTCCCCGTAGTAGTAAAATCCTTGGGTGGAAAGCGGGAGGAGGGGGGAGAGAGTCTACAAATAGCTACGCCATTCAGCATCTGTGTTTAGCCACAAGTTAGCTGGCACGGTCCATTTTCCGCCTGGAACTCGCGTGAGTCAGCCCTGCACCTTTCTTGTGATCCACGCAGGCTGAAACCTTTGATCAGTTTATTAGGGAAAATAACCCCCTAAGATTGAAATGGCCCGTGCACATTCCCGAGGGCATGGCTAAGAGGTTATGGGGTGCCGCAGAAGCACAGCTATGCGGGCAGGCGGAGAGGCCCATGAGCTGGAGGTCTCCTCCACACCCCACACAAGTCTTGCACCCTCTGCGATCTTGCTGGCATTGGAGGCCCAAACTGGGCATTCTGGGGAGTGGATCCAAAAGATCCTGAGTCGCAGACAGGACTCGCTCTGGGACTGGCTATTCTCGTAGAGGTTGATAGGACTGGAGAGGGTAGGGAGAGAAATAGAACGGGGGGAAATTGAACAGATTGAACACCTGGTCAGGATTTGGGATGTGGCCGCTGTACAATCACAGAACCAGCCCCAACTGTACCACACCTCTAGCACCACAGGATTGCTTTCCTGCAGGATGAACGCCGGTTTGACCCATTTTGACTGGCGAGGCTGCAAACTAAATGCGGGTTTAGGGGGTTTAAGGCATTTCCAGTGCTAGTTAAATTTGGAGTGAAAATCAAAATAGGAATAACTGCTTTGCTTTATCACCATGAGTGGCAGGTTTTGCTTTGATTACAATCTGTCCCACACTTCCTTCAGTATCTCAAAAAGGCAGCTAAGAGGAGGTTGTTTTAATATGAGAACTTGCTTAAATTTAATTGCTTAATTAGAAGTATTTAATTTTAACATGAGTTAATTGTCTTGTTTTCTAGATTGCACTTTTAGTGTGTTTTTCATTTTATTTTGAATGTAGCCTTGCAGAAAAGCAACTCATCAGTGTGTTTAGTAGTGCTGTAATGGATTAAAGGGGGATAATCAGCTTAAATTCTTTAATCAGTTGACAGCTATATACATATTTTTGCATACAATTAGATTTTTATTTATATGCAGATCAGGTAACAGGTAAAGGCTGCCTCATTTTCCACATTGGATGGATTGTGTAAGACGGGCCAGCTCTAACAGGCATTTATGCATGTAGACTGTGGAACTTATTAAAAGTCCCATACAGAGATGGAGGGTGTGTGGGACAGACTTGTATTCATTCCCTGACATACATCAAAGCTATATGCTAAATGTGTGACCTAAGCAACCTGCTCATAGGCTGGGTTCACATATCAGAATAAGCTGTCCTGCACAGCTTCCACAGTGTATGGGTTTTTGCCTGGAAGTGCTGGTCGGAAAATTAAGTAGTATCTACGCGAGTGTGGTTTCCACCCTGCTTTATTAGTCCTTCTGCTGTTGCCACATACCCCATCAGCCACCACTCCTGAAATTCAGTCCCATGCCAGATGGCCCAAGGAGCTCCCGCAGCTGCTGCTCTTTGCAGGGACTCTGTCGTAGCTGCATTCCAGGACCATGGATACCACAGTGCAAGATTCCGACAGTCAGAGAAACCGTGGCAAAGCGTGGAAACCACAGAACAGACCACTGATTCTTATTGTGGTTGCTGTAACCCAAGCGTAGCATGCTGGAATACCATGACAGGGTTCAGGCAACACACCAGACCAGCCTACACAAGAAACCACTGTGGCTTGTTGTGCTAACCCACTTGTTGTGCTAACCCACTCTTAGTTTCCATTAGTCAGAACCACGTTCTGCCGGAATCAGTGTCATATTCTCTTCCAGAGTGGCTAGGCAGAATACTGCTATTCCTTTTAGGAAAGACACAGCCTGATTATTCTTTTCAGAGGTCATACAAACAGAACAGGTCCAGCATCATTTCTTTCATGTGCAGAAATGAATGAGAAAGGTGCATAGAGGCATATATGCAAGTGAGCCCAGTGCCTATAAAAGAAGGCTCTGCCACTGAATGAGCAGTTTCCCATCAAAGCATAACTAATAAATAGTATGTGCATATCCTGAAATTGATAATTAGGGTGTGATTGTAAGTGTGGTTTGGTTGCATATTTAATGCATTTCTGCACAGGAAAATATCAGATCACTTTGACCCTCTTGTGAACTATGCCCTTCATGAGTTCCCAGTTCTGAGAAAACAAGTTTCTTCAGGATGAAGAGATGTTATCTTAATGCAGGCTGATGAGGCAGGGCGAGATACTGGCTTTTAAGGATAATCTGCGGGTGCCTCTCACTTTTGTTGCTTTGGAGGTTTCCCAAACCCCTTTCCTAGGACATTAGCATTGAGGGAAACAAAGGCCTGGGACGAGGAAGCCAAAATGGCAGTCTTTTCTCTAATGCTTCGTAAACGTGTGCTGCACACGATCGCTAAGATCCCCCTCCACGTAGCAATGCTGTCGGTGCTTCAGGCTGAGGCCACGGGCCCGGAGACTGACAGGTCGCTTGGATTCCCCAAGAGTTCCCTCCCCTTGGAACCCACTCCCACCCTAGTCCTGCCAGGCTGAAGTCCAAGCCTGAGCTCCTTTTGGTAGTAGTAATTCTTCTGGACTGCTGGCTGCATTCCAGATGATTCAGAATCAGAATGTGAATTAGCTCACGATGGGACTGGGGAGGATGTGTTCTGTCAAGACTCTGCAATGTAGGAGGTGGAGGGGATTATCTCAAGGCCAGATCCTTTGCCGGGCCGGGCCGGGCCAGGCAGCTTCTGGGAACAACCAAGATGTACAGCCAGTGGGAGGGGTCTCTGAGGATGAGGAATTCTCAGGCATAGACCATCCTCCCCACTCTCAACCCCCTGGCGAGGCA